GGGGTCAGTAGGGGGCCCCATGAGATGCCCCTGTTACCTATTTCATAGGCTTTTTTGAGTTTGGGCAAGGACACAGGGGCCCCATAATCCCCTATTGCCCGGGGGCCCCATGAGTTGTCAGTCCACCCCTGGAAGGAGGTGATGTGTGTGTGCCTTGGGCAAGTGCTGAGTGCCAGAGACAGGCGCTACAAAGCAAAACAGCTGCCCCCATTGCTAGCTACGGTTTTGGGGACCATGCAACAACAGGGGGGTGCGCTCTGTCCAACATTGCAACTAGTGATTTAGGGCACCTGGGATAACCACGCCCACACTGTGTATGTTGGTCCATCAGCTGGGGTGCACATAACAGGCTGAAAATGCAGAGGAATTGGGAAATAGTTGCCCCATTATAAGTCCTCACGCACACGGGACGTTTTGATGACGCTGGTAACGTTAGCTGTGTAAAGTCACCTTAAAAAACGTGTTTTTCTGCTTTTTTTTAGCGTCTTTGCATTAGCATTTAGCCACAATTAGTGGCGTTTTCCCATGTTTTTTCCGCGTTTGCAGTGTTTTTTTTTTAACCAAAGAAATCCATTTTTTTCATCAAAAGAAGTCCAAAAATGCCGGTTTGCTGTCTTTTACCGCGTTTTTCAGCGTTAGAGCATTTTAAGCCCTCATGCACACTTGAAGTTTAGCTAACGCTGGTAACGTTAGCTGTGTAAAGTCACATTAAAAACGCCAGTGTTTTCAGCATTTTTTTAGCGGTTTTGCATTAGTCTTTAGCCGCGATTAGCGGCGTTTTCCCGCATTTGCTTTTTTTAGCATCCGAAAAGGCCGGTTTGTGGCATTTTGACGTGTTTTGCCGCGTTTTTCAGTGTTAGAGCATTTTAACAGCTGAAAAACTCCTCTAGAAACCCGCTAGTTTTGGGGGGTTTTTTCCAGCCAAAAAAATGTCCGTGCCAAAAAAGTTGATTACAGCCTATGTGTGCATGGACACATAGGATACCATGCGGGGGGGGGTTTACTGGCTGTAGAAAGAAACGTCAAAAGCCAAAAACAGCCGCTGTAAAAACGTCCCATGTGCATGAGGGCTTACAGCTAAAACACGCCTCTAGAAGCCCACTAGTTCTGGGTTTTTATTCCAGCCAAAAAACATCCCAGCCAAAAAATGTTGATTCCAGTCTATGTGTGTATGGACATACGATAACATGCTGGGGGGTTTACTGGCTGTAGAAAAAAATGTCAAAAGCCAAAAAGAACCCCTGTAAAAACGTCCCGTGTGCATGAGGACTAAGAAGTGCCTGAACAAGGACCTTCATGCAGGATCACCAGCAGGGGCGGACTGACCATTTGGAAACTCGGGCACTGCCCGAGGGCCCGGGATCAGTAGAGGGCCCGGGATCAGTAGGGGGCCCCATGAGTTGCCACTGGTACCTTTTTCATAGGCTTTTTTGAGTTTGGGCAAGGACACAGGGGCCCCATGATCCCCTATTGCCCGGGGGCCCCATGAGTTGTCAGTCCGCCTCTGATCACCAGTCATATTTACAGTATATATGTGAGATTTTAGCTATCGAGTTTAGATCTGCTTTATTTGTAAGTTTGGAATTATTACAGAACCCAGGAACTGTATACAAACCATCCGGGGTAACGCCATTGGTACCTTTGTCCTTTACTGGAAGGTAGGGAAGTCTGAAGGAGGACAGTCCTTTCTTCTTGGGGGGCACAGATACTCCCATGGTCGTCGCTTGCTCAGGAACAGGGACTTTACGTACTTCGGATGTGCCTATGGCTAAAAGCAGTTTTTGTCAGCCAGGATTCAGATTTAATTGCTACTACAGTGCTGTGCTACCTTATTTCTGATTGGCTACCGGCTAATACCGCAGCTGGGTGCTCTGGGCATTTTTATGAGCTAATCCTGATGGTTTTGGACTTTTTTAGGAAAGTATAATAATTATTTTCTAGGATGAGATCGGATTGACCATTTGGAAACTCAGGCACTGCCCAAGGGCCCGGGGTCAGTAGAGGGCCCCATGAGATACCCATGGTACCTTTTCATAGGTTTTTTTGAGTTTGGGCAAGGACACAGGGGCCCCTTGATCCCCTATTGCCCGGGGGCCCCATGAGTTGTCAGTCCACCCCTGGCCGCAAGATTTGAGATTTGAACTGGAGAAATAAATTTTATATACACATAGAATTGTGTAGGGGAGCTCGCTCCTCCTCTATGGTGAGGGGTCCTTTGAGGTGCCTGGCTATTCGTTGAAATTGCTTCTTATGTGTCCGCCTTTACCAAAATTTATTTTCATATATCAGCATCTTGAGTGACTGTTGTATAAATCTGGTGGACTACAGAGCACCACCTGCCCCCCGCTCGCTGCTCTCTGTCCCACTCCATAGATATACATTGATTTCTTTCCCAACAGAACAATTCTGCTGCCTTGACTTCAAATGGCCCGCCTGCACACTGTGAGTAGAGACACTTGGGAGGTATAGTTCTGGGGACGTTAATACCAACTGACCTCCCAGCAGCATTTTTTAAACGTGGTGATGTCACAGGGAGTTATAAAAGTTTTTTCACGGTATAGGAGCAAGGTAAAAGAACACAAAATACCCAATGATGCTGCCAAAAATCCAGTCCTAAAGTAGTACTAAAGGCTCTGGTTTAAAAAATAAAAAAAAGTCATACTTACCTGTTCTGTGTAGTCATTTTGCACAGAACAGCCCCGATCCTCTTCTTTTCGGGTCCTGGCTCCTCCTCCTTTACCAGTTCCCCCAATAGCAAGCTGCTTACTATGGGGGCACTCGTGCGTGCTCGCTCTCATGCCTGGCTCTATGCATCCATAAGACACATAGAGCCGTGGCTCATCCCCACCCCCCACTCTCTCCTCATTGGCACAGAGCAGCCCTGATCCTCTTCTTTTCGGGTCCTGGCTCCTCCTCCTTTACCAGTTCCCCCAATAGCAAGCTGCTTACTATGGAGGCACTCGTGAGTGCTCACTCTCAAGCCTGGCTCTATGCATCCATAAGAGACAGAGCCGTGGCTCAGCCCCACCCCCCACTCTCTCCTCATTGGCACAGAGCAGCCCCGATCCTCTTCTTTTGGGGTCCTGACTCCTCCCTCTTTACCAGTTCCCCCAATAGCAATCTGCTTGCTATGGGGGCACTCGTACGTGCTCACTCTCAAGCCTGGCTCTAAGGATCCATAAGACACAGAGCCGTGGCTCAGCCCGACCCCCCACTCTCTCCTCATTGGCACAGAGCAGCCTCGATCCTCTTCTTTTCAGGTCCCCCGCCAGTGCTTCTGGCTCCTCCCACTTTACCAGTTCCCCCAATAGCAAGCAGCTTGCTTTAGGGGCACTCGTGCGTGCTCGCTCTCAAGCCTGGCTCTATGCGTCCATAAGACACATAGAGCCGTGGCTCAGCCCTGCCCCCACTTTCTCCTCATTGGCTCACTGGCTGTGATTGACAGCAGTGGGAGCCGTTGGTTAGCACTTCTGTCTCAGCCAATGAGGAGAGGGAGTCCCAGGACAGCTGAAGCTCTTGTGCACATTGCTGGACTGAGAGGGGGCTCAGGTAAGTATTAGAGGGGCTGGGGGGGGGGAGGGTAGCAGGACATAGAAGGATTTTTACCTTCATGCATAGAATGCATGAAGGTGAGAAAACCTTCTGTCTTTATAACCACTTTAACAATTTATAAGAAAGTGTATCAAGACCACAGAACACTTCCCACCCAGGGGCGGACTGACCATATAGGCACTCGGGCACTGCCCGAGGGCCTGGGGTCAGTAGGGGGCCACATGAGATGCCTCTGGTACCTTTCATAGGCTTTTTTGGGTGTGGTTTGAGTGTGGGTGAGGACACAGGGGCCCCATGATTTCCTATTGCCCGGGGGCCCCGTGAGTTGTCAATCTGCCCCTGTTCCCATCTATGTTATGGAGATGTGAGAAGGGGAAGTGTTCTGTAGTTCTATTGCACTTCATGTCCTAGGGTGATAATGCTGCTCTCCTCCGTAGATACAGTACAATGAGTGAGCATTGTTACCCCAGGACAGGCAGTGTGCTGCTGGCAGGATCACCAAGTAAAAATAAAGAGGAAATAAGCCTGAAAAAAGAAAACTAATGCAGCCATCCAGAGGTGTCCCTAGGGTTGGTGTCACCCGGTGCGGTAACACTTGGTGACACCCCCTCCGACGATCCCCGCAGACTGGATCGGATCTGTGGATTGAGCATAATGGATCAGACTCCGATCCATTATGCTCCCCAATCTGCATATCTGATCCATCCTGCGGGGATCGTTGGCTTTCTTTACAACTTACCTTTTCTTGGAGCGGGTCCGGTGTCACCCCGTATAGGTTGCATGCTGACGATCCCCAAAGGATGGTTCGGATCTGAGGATTGAGCATAATGGATTGGAGTCCGATCCATTATGCTCCCCAATCCACAGATCCAATCTATCCTGCGGGGATCGTTGGCTTGTTTTACAACTTACCTTTTCATGGAGCGGGTCCGGTGTCACACCGTTCGGTCGGTGTCACCCGGTGCGGGCCGCACCCCCCGCATCTGCCTCGGGACGCCACTGCAGCCATCACATCTAAAACCTACTAAGCTGCAATATCTTACATTTTTGTTCTTGGGTTTAGATACGCTTAAGCCTAGACAAATTATATTTTGTTTTGGATAGGATGAGAAAAAAAATAAATTTCTGTCTTTTTTTCATGTCACCCCACTAGGGAAATTTTTCTCTCACATCCTGTCCCTGTGACACCTGTACAGAGAATACTGTGGTTGTACCTGGGACAACCATATTGACAGACTTGATGGATCGCTTGGTCTTTTTTCTGCCATCACTTTCTATGTTTCTAGAAAGGTACCGACAAGCTGTAGCTCCTCCTAACTTTCCGAAACATGTTTGTTTTTCTGTGTCCCTACTGGAGAGATTTCCAATCACTTCCTGATCTGAAAGAATCTTGCAGAGGCTCTAGCCCTCTAGTTTTGACTGACCCCTTAATTCCCAGTGTACTCACCATCTTTTCCATTTCCTTGCCTTTTTCTGATGATTCGCGAAATGTTAGCAACTGAAGCTTTGACTTTCTGTTTCAGGCTGGACTCCGCAGATTTCATTGTCGACTCAGACTTTCCATTAGGTCGGAAGAGTTTAATACGTTTTCTAGAGGATTTGCGCTCCTTCAGTGCAGTCTTGCCAGGATCAGAGGGCTGCAGTGGTTGGAGAGGAGTAGTGGTCTTCGGGTCCTTTGTCAACCCTTTACCGGAGATGTCCATCGCAGCTTCACTAAGGTCTTTTTCAGGTTGTGAGTTTGCTACGTTTTCTTCAGTGCTTTGCTGAAATGTTTAAAATATCATAAAAATCATTGAGATGAGTAGATTCAAATTCAAATGGAACAAGCTTCATTTTGTCGGAATCATTTGAAGATGCGTCACGATGGATCCCTCCAATCTCCACCAGCGATACTTCTGAATGTCGTCCGGTTTCCTCCAAGTCAGAGAAATTATCGGACCTTCTCCCTGTCCCGGAGCTATCAGAATGAGAAATAAAAGTTTTGCTAGAGCTGCAACTTTCTATGGTGAACTCTTCAAAGTTTTCAAGGGGTGCAGGTGACACATGGGCCTGTGATAGAGATTCATAAAAGCTGCACTGTGAGATTGATGTGATTGGTGGTTCCTTCAAAGGCTCGCCCAAAGGACTGGGCTCTGTTTCCATGTCTTGTGAATCACCTGTGAAATGTCCTACATCTTGCAATCCTGGTGGTTCCTTGGTTTGGTCAGTTTGGTCAACTAAGGATGGAAAAGTAGGGTCTCCTTGGCTTGTTTCCTTTTGTTCACTGGCCAACACCTCCATCTCTTCAGACAAAGAAGACATCTCACCTACAAGTTCATCTATAGTAGCACTTTGCTCATCTTTATATACTGAGAACTGCAAGTCTTTGCCAGCAATTTGCACTCTATCTTCCTGAACAGTCATGCCATGTTCTGTTTGAGATGAAGAAATGACCAGATTGTCTTCTCTCTCGAACATTTGTTCTATGTATGGTTTTATTTTGTGTTCACGATCATGTTTGGCTGCTATAACTAACTCTGTTGGAGTTCTTTCTGGAAAGACTAAATCTGGCACAGGTTCCGACTGCATCATTATTGTGGGGCATTGAGCAACTTCTTCTTGAGTTGTGGTATCCTTTGATATAGCTGAAAAGTCTCCAGCACTTTGATGTATCACTGCTATTCTTGAGTTGTCTTCCCTAAAGTGTACAATCTGTATTTGTCCTTCTGCAAAAATCTTAGCCTCTTCTTCTCCCTCCTCATCTTTTGGGAAGAATGTATTAACTCTATCAGATGTCTTTTCTACTGGAACATCCGAGGCAAGGAATTCATTTCTCTGAGATGTTGTGTGAACTGTAAACTTCACTCCAGTTTGTAAATCTGTAGGTTGTTCCTTTTCTTCAGAGGCTTTTCCCGGAGATTGAGGTGTTGGCCATACATCTGTATCTTTTATCACCACTGTGTGAGGTTTTGCTAGAGATTCGGATTCTGTCACTTGTTTTGGCTTAATAAAAGTTATTATTGTACTTTCTTCTCCTCCCAGCACAGCAGAAGAAGACCTTGCTTTACTATCACTCATATCTTGCAAGGGTTGTTGATGGAACACTGCGATAATGGCGTTATCCCTATCAGAAGGTGGGGCTGAAAGAGGCCTCTGTGTTGAAGATTTCTTTGGAGGTGCAGTCCAGAACTCTTCAGAATGAGGTTTAGTGATGGCGGTATCCGATTTGTTAAGTGCCTCTTTTGAAGTTTTTGTGGAAATGTGATCTTTTTCTTCTACAACGGTTCCTTTGTAAACACTCAAGGGTCTTGATCTGTAGTCATCCAGGGAACGACTTCTGCTTGAAACTTTAAAGGAAGACCTTAGCGATACTTTTGCCAGGTCAAAAGAAGCAGATTTTTTCAGAGAGCCCAGTTGGTCCATTTGGGAGGGATCCTGAGATAGTATTCTCTGCTCCATTGCAAACTGCTCCAACAGAGGCTCTCGTAATCCACTTAAAATTTTTTGTGAGTAACCAGCTTTCATTAAACTCCTACGTGCTCGCTCTCTGTGCTTGATGAAGTCTTTATCCTTTAATGTGCCATCTCTGGGAGCTGTAGGCTGTCCTTCACCAGCTTGGTTGTAAAAGGTACTATTAATGATACTCTGCCTTGGTACACAAACTAATGATGGCTTTTCAGATCCTTTTGGAAGACGTAAAGCACTGTCTGCAGAAGTTCCTCTAACAAAAGCCCCAGTTTTGGCTTTTTTGGAAGCCAGGACACCAACCTCGATAGTTGCAGATCTGTGCAATGGTAACATTCCTGGTGATGTTTCTACGGAATGAACCAACATTTTTTCATCATCTTCTAGATCTTCTTGGCTTTCACCCAACCCAGAAGCTTTATCGTGCTCTCTTTTGGTTCCAATCATGGGAGAGGTGTCATGAATTGTTACATCTTTGCTTTCCATTTTTTCTTCTTCTTGAGTTATGCATTTGGTGTTTTTGTCCATTTCAGGTTCAGGCGTGTATGGCTGTTGCAAGCCGTCTTTTTCAGACATTTTGAAAATAGATAAGTGCAATTCCAGAGAAGGGTTACAGTCCCTAGCGGTAGGACTGACATCACTCTCATTATCGGAAGAAGAACCGCTACTACTCGAAGAACTGCTGCATTCCACTAAATGCCGTGGCACACCCAAGGAAGTACTCTCCTGCTTTCCATTCAGAAGCTCAGGAATCGACCTCATCACCAGGATGGATTTGTAGCACATCAAGGAGCGCTGAAAACAAAGGCAAGAGTAACAACAATAATCAATTCAACCACAAATCTTATTACATTTAAAATATATGATTGAATATTATGAATTAATTTCCACAGACCTATCACCCCCAATGCATCCAGTTAGTAAAATGGGTTCTACTCAGGGTTGGACTGACAACTCATGGGGCCCCCGGGCAATAGGGGATCATGGGGCCCCTGTGTCCTTGCCCACACTCAAAGCACACCAAAAAAAGCCTATAAAAGTTACCAGGGGCATTTCACGGGGCCCCCTACTGACCCCAGGCCCTCGGTCAGTGCCGAGAGCTTGAATGGTCAGTCCACCCCTGGTTCTACTCATACAAGCTTACAGTCTACAGCAGTCACTCTCAACCAGGTTTCACCTATCTGGTGGGGAGCCTGATGTGGAAATGAAGGCATCCTCTTACACCTCTTGCTTGGTGCCCCTGATAGAGCAAACAGAAAGCACGAAAGCCAGGAGTGGCACGAGTGCCTGGCAGGTCAGCGATGTCAGCCGACAGGTGGGTAGTCTGGATGACCAGGATGCAGGTCAGTGGAGGATGCAGGTGGGTTGTGGATGCTGGTTAGCTGAGGACACAGGTAGGCTGCGAGTGCAGGTGAGCCAGAGGATGCAGGTAGGTTGCGGATGGAGGTGAGCAAAGGATGCCTGTAGGTTGTGGAATCAGGTGAGCAGAGGATGCAGGTGAGCTGAGGGTGCAGGTAGGTTACGGATGCAGGTGAGCAGAGGATGCAGGTAGGTTGCGGATGCAGGTGAGCAGAGGATGCAGATCAGCAGGAGCAGCGGCTGGTAAATTCTAGCAGCAGAGCGACAGGAACTCTGCAACTGCAGACTGTTAGTAGCAAGTGGTAGTCACAGGCCGGAGAAGTAGCAGAGTCAGACAAGCCAGGTCAGGATCTATCAGGCGGATCAAGTACTGGTAGCAGGCAAGAGGATAGTCAAAGTTCAGACCAGGAGTCAGCAACCATCAGGCAGATAGCAAGGGAACAGGCAAAGGCGTAGTCCAAGGGTAAGCTAGGTCGGTGCAGGCAGAGTTCATGCGAAGTCAAGTCAGGTCAGTTCAGCAACAGGATCACGATACAACAGATAGCAGATAACTGAACGTGGTAGACCAGAAGGCAAAGGCTCCTAGTGCAGTTGTGGTTTAAATAGCCCACCTGGCGCTAGTCTGGTGGCAGGTGTGCACGCTGGTGCGCATGGACACAAGCACGGCTGTTGCACAATTGGCATTGGTGCATAAATATGCTCCTGAGCATTGTCTTCCCTGACACCAGGGTTCTGTGAAACTCTGGGGTTCCTCAAGGGGGTGGCTAAGGGTTCCTTGAGGTGTAGCTGGCTGACCTCCCATCTCATGGTGCCTACATGGTTCTAGGTCCAACGCCACGTGTCAGAGCCAGCGGCATGACTGCAAGAGAACCATTCTGGCCACCACTGTAGGTGGGGCATTCTTCCCACTTACCATTTTCCCAATGACTCCTGAAAACTATTTTGAGGGTTCGTCTGGGGGTAACAAAAGGTGTACAGAAAATATTTTCCTTTCTTTAAGCAAATCCCCTTTTTTTGTAATTCCTTTATTTGTAGAAAAGATGAATATGTCCTAATTGTAGTAGAAAATCATCCTGGAGTGAAGCAAATCCCCTTTTGACTTTCAGTCCGACAAATATGTCACCTACAGTGTATTTCTTTCCAGCCTTTCTCAAGAATTTTTTACCCTAGAGGAACCATTGAAAAAAAATTCGGGTCTCAGGGAACCCCTGCTTAAATTAATTATTTGAGAATCAGTGCAGAAGAATGACCCTTAAATTGGTAGTTAGTGGGAAAAATACCATCCTTACAATGGTAGTAAGAATGCCACTCTTCCAAACAGCTGAAAGAGTGAAATGGTGTCATGCTGCTTGCACTGCCAAGTGGTGTTGGACCCAGAACTATGCAGGAACCCTCAAATGGGAGGTCAATCGCCCTTAGCTCAAGGAACCCCTGGAAACCTTTTCCGCCATTACAGACAGCTAAAACGGATCACTGGGTTCATGAAACTGGTGCTGCCATGTGGCATTGACCATAGAACCATGGAGGCACCATCGCATGGGAGGTCAATCAGCCATTGCTCAAGCAACCTCTGGAGGAACCCTAGGATTCCATGGAACCCTCGATGAAAATGGCTGATCTAGACAAAATAAAAAAGCAAGAAAATATTCAGTCTCTGTAATTTGTTTGGATTTCTCCATGTTCTTTCACTTGTATTTACAGGCATACCTCAGTTTACGAATTTAATTTATTCTGTGGGACTTTTCGTATTGCGAAAAATTTGTAAACCCCATAGGAATGCATTGAAAACCAATTAATCCGATCCGGGGGTCATAAAAAAGTAAAAAAAAGTCTTATCTGTTAAAAACTCTTTATAAAGTTCACTTTAAAGGCATAAATATTGTACAGGGACATGATAAAAAAAAATTGTAAATGCATCGAAAATCAATTAATCCGTTCGTATTGCGAAAAAAATTCGTAAACCGAGCCATTATTTTCAATGAATAGAAACAGAAAATTACGTTAACCGAGGCTTTCGTAAACCCAAAGGCTTCCCTAGGCAGGTGCAGTGGGTGCGCGCCACACTGGGTGACACCTATCACACGGGGTGACACCGGACCCTCTCCACGAGCTCCACGAAAAGGAAAGTTTTAAAGCAAGCCGACGATCCCCTCAAGATGGATCGGATCTGCGGATACATGCCCACCTGCAGTGTATTCCTAAATGGATATTAATACAGGCATACCTTGGTTTACACAGAGGCGTCCCTAGGGTTGGTGTCACCCGGTAACACTTGGTGACACCCCCCGACAATCTCCGCAAGATGGATCGGATCTGCGGATCGAGCATAATGGATCGGAGTCCGATCCATTATGCTCCCCGATCCGCAGATCCGATCCATCTTGCGGGGATCGTCGGCTTGCTTTAAAACTTTCCTTTTTGTGGAGCTTGTGGAGAAATCAGTTAACCTCGTATAGGTTGCAAGCCGACGATCCCCGCAGGATGGATCGGATCTGCGGATCGGGGGAGCATAATGGATCCGACTTCGATCCATTATGCTCAATCCGCAGATCCGATCCATCTACGGGTATCGTCGGAGGGGTGACACCAAGTGTTATCGCACCGGGTGACACCAACCCTAGGGACCCCCTGAGTAAACCGAGGTATGCTTGTATTAATATCCATTTGGGAATACACTGCAGGTGGGCATGTAGATGAAAGCAACTTTTAAATATGGGTGGAACTCCACTTTTTAACCACCTCCGTCCGGCCGCTGTATATAAACGGCCAGACGGTGGCAGTGCAGGGTCGGGTGGCTATTTATAAACGGCCTAACTGCCCCCTGCTTGTGCGCACTCCCTGGGAGCACGCAGCACCGCAATCCGGTGCCCACTGTGACTGATCGTTGGACGGGACCTCTGTGCGAGGTTCCGATTATGTGATCACTGATTGGCCAATCAATGATCACATGCAGAGTAGTAAGCAAGATGTCACTTCTGACATCATTGCTTACTACGTGTGAAACCTGTGAATGATCACAGAGATCACATGGTACAGGGCTATTCACAACAGCCTTGTACCATGTGACAAGCTGTGACCAATCACAGCTCACACAGTATTTCTCAATAGCTGCAAGAATGCGGCCAGAGAAAAGGAGAAATGATTGATTTTACAGCCTTTATAGGTGTAAAAGCAGTCAGTGTAAGAAAATCATCATCACCCCCCACAAGTAGTACAGTGTCACCATGGTGACACTGTACTGCTAGGGTGACAGTATGTAAATAAACCAAATAAATAAATAAAACATAATATAAATTTGTTTTTTTTTAAATGTAAAACAAAATGTTTAAAAATTATAATTTTTGGTTATAAACTAATTTGGGTTAATTATTTTTACTAAAAATATAATGGAATAAATTTTGGCCAAGATTTATGATGAAATACTATTTATTTGCAAAATTTTATAAGAAAAACACTTTATTTCAAAATTTTTGGACATTTTAATTTACATAGCAAAAAAAATTAAAATCCCAGCGGTGAATAAATACCACCAAAATAAAGCTTTATCTGTCTAAAAAAAATGCTAAAAATTCATATGGGTACAGTGTTGCATGACCGCGCAATTGTCATTCAAGGTGTGATAGTGCTGAAAGCTGAAAATTGACCTGGACTGGAAGGGGGTAAAAGTGTCCAGTGTCCGGACTGGAAGGGGGGTGAAAGTGTCCGGACTGGAAGGGGGGGAAAGTGTCCGGACTGGAAGGGGGGGGAAGTGTCCGGACTGGAAGGGGGGGAAAGTGTCGGACTGGGGGGGGGAAGTGTCCGGACTGGAAGGGGGGGGAAGTGTCCGGACTGGAAGGGGGGGGAAGTGTCCGGACAGGAAGGGGGGGAAGTGTCCGGACAGGAAGGGGGGGGAAGTGTCCAGACTGGAAGGGGGTGAAAGTGTCCGGACTGGAAGAGGGTGAAAGTGTCTGGACTGGAAGGGGGGGGGGGGAAAGTGTCCGGACTGGAAGGGGGGGGGGGAAGTGTCCGGACTGGAAGGGGGGGAAAATGTCCGGACTGAAAGGGGGGGGGAAAGTGTCCGGACTGGAAGGGGGTGAAAGTGTCCGGACTGGAAAGGGGGGAAAGTGTGGGTGACTGTGAATGATGAAAGAGGGGGTGGGGTGAAAGTGTCTGGACTGGAAGGGGGGGAAAGTGTCCGGACTGGAAGGGCGGTGAAAGTGTCCGGACTGCAAGGGGGGGGGAAAGTGTCCGGACTGGAAGGGGGTGAAAGTGTCCGGACTGGAAAGGGGGGAAAGTGTCCAGACTGGAAGGGGGGGAAAGTGTCCAGGACTGGGAAGGGCGGTGAAAGTGTCCGGACTGCAAGTGTCCGGGGGGGGGGAAAGTGTCCGGACTGGAAGGGGGGGAAAGTGTCCGGACAGGAAGGGGGTGAAAGTGTCCAGACTGGAAGGGGGGGGGGGGGAAAGTGTCCGGACTGGAAGGGGGGGAAGTGTCCGGACTGGAAGGGGGTGAAAGTGTCCAGAACTGGAAGTGTCCGGGGGGGGTGAAAGTGTCCGGACTGGAAAGGGGGGAAAGTGTGGAAGGGGGGTGAAAGTGTACCCGGACAGGAAGGGGGTGAAAGTGTCCGGACTGGAAGGGGTAGAAAGTGTCCGGACTGGAAGGGGGGGAAAGTGTCCGGACTGGAAGGGGGGGAAAGTGTCCGGACTGGAAGTGGTTAAGAACCAACCTACAGAAGCCTTCTTGTTCGTAACCCGGGATTGCCTGTATTGGATGAAAAATTAAAGTATTCTGAAACACAATACAGTATTTACAAAGGGAGAGAGAGAATCTCTTACCTGCCACCTACTGCGGGCAACAAGGAATCGGAGGTTCTTGGAGCTGACTGGCTGTGTGTCCTCTGGGCTGGAACTCTCCTGGAATAAAGTCAGAGCCGCTGATAACTTCATCATTCTTAACATCGGGATAAAGACATCGATGACTTGTTGGATATGGATGGAATGGAAGAGTAACTTAAAGGGGGAGATTGACTACAAGCGGTGCGCACAGAATCTGGTGCAGCTGCGCATAGTAACCAATCAACTTGTTCAATTAAGAGCTGACTATAAATCCAGGGGTGCTGTTGCATTTAGGGAAAAAAAATAATTAACATATATGTGAAAGAATTAACTATATATAAGATACCTATATAGCAGCAGTCCTAAATGTGAATTTCTAAACACAAAATCTTATATATTTCAAAAATTCCATTTTTTAAATATATAAATCCTGGAAGTTGATTGGTTACCGTGCACAACTGCACCAGATTCTGTGTGCACCAGTTTAATACATCTCCCCCAAAGAATCATTAGTATCCCTAAAGCTTATTTTGGCTAGAATCTACTATTATTATCCTTCATTTCCAAATGCTAAATGTATGTTTTTAAATCTATAAACACAGGTAGCTGTGGCTCCTGTGTACACTGGCATTTGGAATCCCTTAAAATTCCTAGGCACCTTGATGCTTCCGATATGTAAGAAAAATATATTTGAAAAATATTCTTCCGAAATATATTGACATATATTTGAAATATTACAATTTTAGCCATATTCAATATATTTCAAAATATATTTCAATATATACTGTATATATATAATTATATATATAAATAATTCCTCTAATACAGGAGATATATATATATATATATACAGTCAGGTCCATAAATATTGGGACATCGACACAATTCTAACATTTTTGGCTCTATACACCACCACAATGGATTTGAAATGAAACGAACAAGATGTGCTTTAACTGCAGACTGTCAGCTTTAATTTGAGGGTATTTACATCCAAATCAGGTGAACGGTGTAGGAATTACAACAGTTTGCATATGTGCCTCCCACTTGTTAAGGGACCAAAAGTAATGGGACAATTGGCTTCTCAGCTGTTCCATGGCCAGGTGTGTGTTATTCCCTCATTATCCCAATTACAATGAGCAGATAAAAGGTCCAGAGTTCATTTCAAGTGTGCTATTAGCATTTGGAATCTGTTACTGTCAACTCTCAAGATGAGATCCAAAGAGCTGTCACTATCAGTGAAGCCATCATTAGGCTGAAAAAACAAAACAAACCCATCAGAGAGATAGCAAAAACATTAGGCGTGGCCAAAACAACTGTTTGGAACATTCTTAAAAAAAAGAAGCTCAACACCAAAAGACCCGGAAGACCACGTAAAACAACTGTGGTGGATGACCGAAAAGAATTCTTTCCCTGGTGAAGAAAACACCCTTCACAACAGTTGGCCAGATCAAGAACACTCTTCAGGAGGTAGGTGTATGTGTGTCAAAGTCACCAATCAAGAGAAGACTTCACCAGAGTGAATACAGAGGGTTCACCACAAGATGGAAACCATTGGTGAGCCTCAAAAACAGGAAGGCCAGATTAGAGTTTGCCAAACGACATGTAAAAAAGCCTTCACAGTTCTGGAACAACATCCTATGGACAGATGAGACCGACATCAACTTGTACCAGAGTGATGGGAAGAGAAGAGTATGGAGAAGGAACTGCTCATGATCCTAAGCATACCACCTCATCAGTGATCATGGTGGTGGTAGTGTCATGGCGTGGGCATGTATGGCTGCCAATGGAACTGCTTCTCTTGTATTTATTGATGATGTGACTGCTGACAGAAGCAGCCGGATGAATTGTGAAGTGTTTTGGGAATATTATCTGCTCATATTCAGCCAAATGCTTCACAACTCATTGGACGCTTCACAGTGCAGATGGACAATGACCCAAAGCAGACTGCAAGAGCAACCAAAGAGTTTTTTAAGGGAAAGAAGTGGAATGTTCTGCAATGGCCAAGTCAATCACCTGACCTGAATCCGATTGAGCATTTCACTTGCTGAAGACAAAACTGAAGGGAAAATGCCCCAAAACAAGCAGGAACTGAAGACAGTTGCAGTAGAGGCCTGGCAGAGCATCACCAGGGATGACACCCAGCGTCTGGTGATGTCTATGCGTTCCACACTTCAGGCTGTAATTGACTGCAAAGGATTTGCATCCAAGTATTAAAAAGTGAAAGTTTGATTTATGATTATTACTCTGTCCCATTACTTTTGGTCCCTTAAAATGTGGGAGGCACATATGCAAACTGTTGTAATTCCTACACCGTTCACGTGATTTGGATGTAAATACCCTCAAATTAAAGCTGACGGTCTGCAGTTTAAAGCACATCTTGTTCGTTTCATTTCAAATCCATTGTGGTGGAGTATAGAGCCAAAAATGTTAGAATTGTGTCCATGTCCCAATATTTATGGACCTGACTGTATATATATATAATATATATATATATATATACACATACTGTATGTTGAAATGTGTTTTTATTGCAAAATATGAAAAATATTTTTTTTAAGATACATCTTCAAATATATTGTATGTCTTTAAAAATAAATTTAATCTACATTTTTGGAATGCATTTACAAATATATGTAAAAATATATGTTTAAATGACTTTTTTATATGTTAAAAAAAATCTGAAGAATATGTTTAAAAAAATATATTAAAACTTTTTTTTTCATATATTTTTTCATATATTTGGTAATATATATAAAAATGCATTCCAACATGCAGAATATATATACTGCAAGAATACATACTGCATCTTGCAGTGTGTGCTTCTCCATTCTTCCTCCATACTCGGGGTCCTTGGGCCTCTCATTCTTCCTCCATACTCGGGGTCCTTGGACCTCTCCATTCTTCCTCCAAACTCAGGGTCCTTGTGCCTCTCCATTCTTCCTCCATACTCCGGGTCCTTGAGCCTCTCTATTCCTCCTCTATACTCGGGGTCCTTGGGCCTCTCCACTCTTCCTCCATACTCGGGGTCCTTGGGCCTCTCCATTCTTCCTCCATACTCGGGGTCCTTGGTTTCCAAATGAGATGCAAAAGTTGCTCTCACCAGGAAAGAGGACTTTGGACCACTGAGCAACAGACCAGGTCTGTTTTTCTTTAGCCCAGGTAAGACGCTTCTGACGTTGTTTGTTGTTCAGGAGCGGCTTGACAAGAGGAATACGACATCTGAAGCCCATGTCCAGGATCTGTCTGTGTGTGGTGGCTCTTGATGCACTGACTCCAGCCTCAGTCCACTCCTTGTGAAAGTCCCCAACACTTTTGAATGGCCCTTTCCTGACAATCCTCTCCAGGCTGCGGTCATCCCTGCTGCTTGTGTACCTTTTTCTTCTATATATATATATATATATATATAAATATTTATATATATATATATCTACAGGTGAAACTCAAAAAATTAGAATATTGTGCAAAATTTCATTTATTTCAGTGCAGCAACTTAAAAGGTGAAACTAATATATGAGATAGACTCATTCCATGCAAAGCAAGATAGTTCAAGCCGTGATTTGTCATCATTGTGATGATTATGGCTTACAGCTCATGAAAACCCCAAATCCACAATCTCAGAAAATGAGAATATTCCATGCAATCAATAAAACAAGGATTGTACATAGAACAATATCGGACCTCTGAAAAGTAGAAGCATGCATATGTACTCAGTACTTGGTTTGGGCCCCTTTTGCAGCAATTACTGCCTCAATGCGGCGTGGCATGGAAGCTATCAGCCTGTGGCACTGCTGAGGTGTTATGGAAGACCAGGATGCTTCAATAGCGGCCTTCAGCTCTTCTGCATTGTTCGGTCTCATGTCTCTCATCTTTCTCTTGGCAATGCCCCATAGATTCTCTATGGGGTTCAGGTCAGGCGAGTTTGCTGGCCAATCAAGCACAGTAATCCCACGGTCATTGAACCAGGTTTTGGTGCTTTTGGCAGTGTGGGTGGTGCCAAGTCCTGCTGGAAAATGAAGTCAGCATCCCCATAAAGCTGGTCTGTGGAAGGAACCATGAAGTGCTCCAAAATCTCCTGGTAGACGGCTGCGCTGACCCTGGACTTAATGAAGCACAGTGGACCAACACCAGCAGATGACATGGCTCCCCAAATCAACACAGTCTGTGGAAACTTCACACTGGACTTCAAGCATCTTGCAGTATGTGCCTCTCCATTCTTCCTCCATACTCGGGGTCCTTGTGCCTCTCCATTCTTCCTCCATACTCGGGGTCCTTGTGCCTCTCCATTCTTCCTCCATACTCGGGGTCCTTGTGCCTCTCCATTCTTCCTCCATACTCGGGGTCCTTGTGCCTCTCCATTCTTCCTCCATACTCGGGGTCCTTGTGCCTCTCCATTCTTCCTCCATACTCGGGGTCCTTGGGCCTCTCCATTCTTCCTCCATACTCGGGGTCCTTGGGCCTCTCCATTCTTCCTCCATACTCGGGGTCCTTGGGCCTCTCCATTCTTCCTCCATACTCGGGGTCCTTGGGCCTCTCCATTCTTCCTCCATACTCGGGGTCCTTGGGCCTCTCCATTCTTCCCCCATACTCGGGGTCCTTGGGCCTCTCCATTCTTCCTCCATACTCGGGGTCCTTGGGCCTCTCCATTCTTCCTCCATACTCGGGGTCGTTGTGCCTCTCCATTCTTCCTCCATACTCGGGGTCCTTGTGCTCTCCATTCTTCCTCCATACTTGGGGTCCTTGTGCCTCTCCATCCTTCCTCCATACTCGGGGTCCTTGGGCCTCTCCATTCTTCCTCCATACTCGGGGTTCTTGGTTTCCAAATGAGATGCAAAAGTTGCTCTCATCAGAATAGAGGACTTTGGACCACTGAGCAGCAGACCAGGTCTGTTTTTTTTTTAGCCCAGGTAAGACGCTTCTGACGTTGTTTGTTGTTCAGGAGCGGCTTGACAAGAGGAATACGACATTTGAAGCCCATGTCCAGGATCCATCTGTGTGTGGTGGCTCTTGATGCACTGGCTCCAGCCTCAGTCCACTCCTTGTGAAAGTCCCCAACACTTTTGAATGGCCTTTTCCTGACAATCCTCTCCAGGCTGCGGTCATCCCTGCTGCTTGTGCACCTTTTTCTTCCACACTTTTCCTTTCCACATAACTTTCTATTAATGTGCTTTGATACAGCACTTTGGGAACATCCAACTTATTTTGCGATTACCTTTTGAGGCTTTCCCTCCTTATGGAGGGTGTCAGTGATGGTGTCAGGTCAGCAGTCTTTCCCATGATTGTGATTCCTACTGAACCAGACTGAGAGACCATTTAAAGGCTCAGGAACCCTTTGCAGGTGTTATGGCTTAATTAGCTGATTAGAGTGGGACACTTTGAGCCGAGAATATTCCACCTTTTCACAATATTCTCATTTTCTGAGATTGTGGATTTGGGGTTTTCATGAGCTGTAAGCCATAATCATCACAATGATGACAAATCAAGGCTTGAACTATCTTGCTTTGCATGTAATGAGTCTATCTCATATATTAGTTTCACCTTTTAAGTTGCATTACTGAAATAAATGAACTTTTGCACCATATTCTAATTTTTCGAGTTTCACCTGTATATTGAACTATATTGAATACGGCCAAAATTTTAGTATTTCAAATATATGCCAATATACTTGGGAAGAATATTTTTAAAATATATTTCAAATATATTTTCTTCCATGTGGGTTTGGGTAGGTAAAACAATGGCGCTTTGATTTCAGGTGCCAAAACATTGTAACACTGAGATTCTGGTGTTAAGGAGCGCCCAGTACAAACGTTCATGACACAAAACTGTTAAATCAAAGTGTTGAACAAAGATATCACATGAAGCCAACGCTTTTTTTGTGGGAAATGCCTCCCCCCTTCCTAAGGCTAAAACATTTTGAAATTAGTTATACCACATTCAGCCTTTTTGTACTCTAGCCCTGTGGAAGGGGGGGAGACATGTCCCCCGAAACACGCTGGCTTCATCTGATATCAACAAACACTTTGATTTGACCTTTTGAAATTACCTTTTGTACCGGGCGCTCCTCTAAACCTTCCTCAGAGTTATGCCATCCACTGATTTTTCTCCAAGAGACCATCAGAGAGGTAGAAGTCCAAACCAGAACAAGGTCCATTTACAAGGCACCTTCACTGCACATCAGCCTCTGTGAAGGAGGACTGAATTCTATGATATATCCAACAAAATCACCACCTCATTCCAATTAGTCCAACACTATCACACCTATACATTGGCTACTTTGGACCGTAGGGCAATGAGGCACTGACACATGATGTTCCAAAAATCACTCACACAATTAAACTTGGGATCCCAGTGTTATTGAACCCGGATGCTTGGGGTCCCTAAATGAAGACACACAGACACTTGGGAGCCCAAAGCAATGATACATTGACTCCTGAAGACCAAGAACAAGGACACTTTGACACATAAAGGGTGGTAGAACAAGGACACACCAACGTTTGGTCTGGGAACAATGACAGATTGACATTTATGGTATCAGAACAATGACACACAGCCAATGAAAGACTGAGCTTTGGGTTCCTTGAACAATGACAAACTGACACTTGGAATTCAGGAAAAACACAATGGTCAGGAATCCAGATCAATTACACACAGTCATTTGATGGCCACGGACCCATGAAAGATTGATCTTGGGGGTCCGGGGACATTGACAAACCGACATTTGGGGTTCCAGAAAGAGACACAGGGATACACAGGGATATAGAACAATTACACACAGACATTTGATGGCCACGGACCCCTGAAAGATTGATCTTGGGGGTCCGGGGACATTGACAAACCGACATTTGTGGTTCCAGAAAGAGACACAGGGATACAGAACAATTACACACAGATATTTGATGGCCACGGACCCATGAAAGATTGATCTTGGGGGTCCGGGAACATTGACAAACCAACATTTGGGGTTCCAGAAAGAGACACAGGGATACAGAACAATTATACACAGGCATTTGATGGCCACGGACCCATGAAAGATTGATCTTGGGGGTCCAGGGACATTGACAAACCGACATTTGGGGTTCCAGAAAGAGACACAGGGATACACAGGGATAAAGAACAATTACACACAGACATTTGATGGCCAAAGACCTATGAAAGATTGAACCTAGGGGTCTGGGGACAATTAACACTTGGTCCAAGCACAGACAAGAAGTAGTAGTCATCATTGCTACACCTCTAGGTGAACTTAAATCTAAGTTGATTAGTAGGTTTTCTGCTACTGTGACAACACCAATTAGGTAAGTAACCCCATAAAGGAAAACAACGTACCACAAACCATTTATGCTGGAGACACTGTGTAGCACTCGGCCGTGCACTGTTATAGGAAAATAAACACATGAATTTTATACACATGCGGCACAAATATATATATATATATAGCTTGTCATATAGTGCTGATTACCAAACCATGTGGATGATGAGGATATACAGTGAAGGAAATAAGTATTTGATCCTCGGCTGATTTTGAATGTTTGCACACTCACAAAGAAATGATCGGTCTAAAAATCGAATGTTCGGTGTATTGTAACACTGAGAGACAGAATAGCAACAAAAAATTCAAAAGAAATGCATGTCTAACAAATGATGACTGATCTGCATGTTCCTGAGGGAAATAAGTATTTGATCCCCTTCACAAAACATGACTTAGTACTTGGTGGCAAATCCCTTGTTGGTAATCACAGAGGTCAGACGTTTCCTGTACGACCCGAACTACATAACTGATGGACCCGAACTACATAACTGACCTGATACCCAAATACCACCCTACCCGTGCCCTCCGCTCCTCACAGGACCTCCTACTCTCTAGCTCCCTGGTCTCCTCCTTCCACGCCCGATTGCAGGACTTCTCCAGGACTTCCCCCATCCTCTGGAACTCCCTACCCCAATCCATCAGACTGTCACCTACCCTCCTCACCTTTAGGCGCACCCTGAAAACCCTCCTCTTCAGGGAAGCCTACCCCAACCTCACCTAACACCCGACCTCACCCCTGCTAACCTGCCGACCCCCTCCACTCCTCTCAGCACTCCATCCCCCCACAGCCATCTCCTCCTGTATCACCTTCCCCTCCCTCCTAGATTGTAAGCTGGAAAGAGCAGGGCCCTCAAACCCCTCGTGTATTGTATTGGTACTGTCTTGTCTATGTTCTGTCCCCCTTGCTACTGTACAGCGCTAAGCATACCCTTTGGCGCTATATAAATACTGTATAATAATAATAATAGTTGGCCCCCAAGTTTGCACACATCTCAGGAGGGATTGTGGCCCACTCCTCTTGGCAGATCCTCTCCAAGTCATTAAGATTTGGTGGCTGACGTTTGGCAACTCGAACTTTCAGCTCCTCCACAGATTTTCAATCGAATTAAGGTCTGGAGACTGGTTAGGCCACTCCAGGACCTTAATGTGCTTCTTCTTGAACCACTCCTTTGTTGCCTTGGCCGTGTGTTTTGGGTCATTGTCATGCTGGAACACCCATCCACAACCCATTTTCAATGCCCTGGATGAGGGAAGAAGGTTCTCACCCAAGATTTCTTTGTGAGTGGGCAAATATTCAAAATCAGCAGGGGATCAAATACTTATTTCCTTCACCGTATGGGGAGCTGGCCCAAATTGGCAATTTTACAATTCATTTGCCAGTTGTGCCAGTCTTCTGATAGTATTGTTGGGCCTTCAAGAACTCATTTTTGACTTTCCAACCTTGATCAGATCTGTCCCATGTAAAAATAAAAGTTCACCATTGCTAATAAAGCGTATTTTGAATTTGGGCCATACAATGAAATTGAGACGATGGCAATGTTAACACATGATAATAAATACTGCATCCAACTTAGCAACGTTTGGTTGGTACATCTCCATGGGCTGTATATTGCCAGGGCTGTGTTTTGGATCTGGACTGGCTTTGATGAAGCTGGCCGAAAGGAACCAAGAAGCATCCACTAGAGATACAATGAAGTACAGCAATACCTTCATATCTCCTAAGGCTGAACTAAAGGCAAAACATTTTTCGGGAGGGTTATAATCCCTGTAGGTGTTTTTGCCATCTATGTCTCTTTGGAGAGATTTGGAGGGAGGAAATCCCTCCAAAGTGAGGGAATCCCTGAGTGTCACTAGAACTAGAATCTGCATTGGTAGATTTAACCTCTATTCCTGTTCTGGGGACAACTCAAAATTTGGGTAAATGTGACAAATAGAGAAGATGAATCTCGTTAATGGGGACAGAGCTAAAATCAGCTTTCATTAAATATTATTCCAAATTAGGGATTAACAAGCGGACTGGCAGGTAGAAGAAGAAGATATCCATTAATACCGGCCAGTTCCCTACTATTGTGTGTACTTCTCCTGTTTACGGAAACACCAGTCCAAGCCATTGTGTGTGTGTGTCTACACCGCTCAATAAAATTAAAGGAACACTATTTAATCAGAATCTAGCTTCAAGTCAATGACACTCCTGGGATATTGATCTGGTCAGGTAAGTAGCAGAGGGGGTTGTTAATCAGTTTCAGCTGCTTTGATGTTAATGAAATTAACAACAGGTGCTCTAGATGGGCAACAATGAGATGATCTCCAAAACAGGAATGGTTTTACAGATGGAGGCCAGTGACATTTTTTCCCTACTCATCTTTTCTGACTGTTTTTCACCAGTTTTGCATTTGGCTAGGGTCAGTGTCACTACTGGTAGCATGAGGCCATACCTGGACCCTACAGAGGTTGCACAGGCAGTCCAACTCCTCCAGGATCGCACATCAATACCTGCCATTGCCAGAAGGTTTGCTGTGTCTCCCAGCACAGTCTCAAGAGCATGGAGGAGATTCCAGGAGACAGGCAGTTACTCTAGGAGAGCTGGACAGGGCCGTAGAAGGTCCTTAACCCATCAGCAGGATCGGTATCTGCTACTTTGTGCAAGGAGGAACAGGATGAGCCCTGTCAGAGCCCTACAAAATGACCTCCAGCAGGCCACTGGTGTGAATGTCTCTGACCAAACAATCAGAAACAGACTTCATGAGGGTGGCCCGAGGGCCCGACATCCTCTAGGGGGCCCTGTGCGCACTGCCCGGCACCATAGAGCTCGATTGGCATTTGCCATTGAACACTAGAATTGGCAGGTCCACCACTGGCGCCCTGTGCTTTTCACAGATGAGAGCAGGTTCACCCTGAGCACATGTGACAGACGTGAAAGGGTCTGGAGAAGCTGTGGAGAACGTTCTGCTGCCTCTAACATCGTTCAGCATGACCGTTTTGATGGTGGGTCAGTGATGGTCTGGGGAGGCATATCCATGGAGGGACGCACAGACCTCTACAGGCTAGACAATGGCACCCTGACTGCCATTAGGCATCGGGATGAAATCCTTGCACCCATTGTTAGACCCTACGCTGGTGGGTAGGGGCTGGAGACAAGGTGTGACTCAAAAGGGTAGTACTGGGAGGTTTGTAGGAGGTAGAACCAGGGGCTACTGCTCAGAGGTGGGTAGGGGGCGGAGACAAGGTGAGACTCAAAAGGGTAGTACTGGGAGGTGGGTAGGGGGTGGAACCAGGGGCCACTGCTTGGAGTTGGGTAGGGAGCGGAGACAAGGTGTGAATCAAAAGGGTAGTACTGGGAGGTGGGGTGGGTGGGTGGAACCAGGGACCACTGCTCGGTGGTGGGTAGGGGCGGAGAAAAGGTGTGACTCCAAAGGATAGTACTGGGAGGTGGGTAGGGGGTGGAACCAGGGACCACTGCTCGGAGGTGGGAAGGGGGCGGAGACAAGGTGTGACTCAAAAGGGTAGTATTGGGAGGTGGGTAGGGGGTGGAACCAGGGGCCACTGCTCGGAGGTGGGTAGGGTGCAGAGACAAGGTGTGACTCAAAAGGGTAGTACTGGGAGGTGGGGGTAGTGGTTGGAACCAGGGGCCACTGCTCGGAGGTGGATAGGGGGCAGAAACAAAGTGTGACTCAAAAGTGTAGCACTGGGAGGTGGGTAGGGGATGAAACCAGGGGCCACTGCTCGGAGGTGGGTAGGGGACGGAGACAAGGTGTGACTCAAAAGGGTAGTATTGGGAGGTGGGTAGGGGGTGGAACCAGGGGCCACTGCTCGGAGGTGGGTAGGGGGCGGAGACAAGGTGTGACTCAAAAGGGGGTGGGGGTAAACTACACCTATTCTTTGACAAAAAAAATCCCTTGTAACCTTTTATTTCTGGATGGAGTGAGGAAGGGTAAATCCCTATTCATTGCTGCCATTACTGTCCACATTGCCAGCCTCGGTCGCCAGGACAGGAATTAAAAGGACTGTGAAAAATTTTCTGACCTTCAGTCCACCAGTGACACAACAGGAATTGCCAATGGGGGTCACAGACCCCGAAAGAGGTTTCCGACCCTTCGCCACACCCGAAACGTAAAAAACAACCTACACATAGAAGTCATCCCACTTACTCCGGAGACCTCTGGATGGCTTGTCTCATGAAGTCCTGGGCATTGGCACCGAGCTGGGTGAAGCCCGGGCAGCTCCAGCTAATCTTGGCTTGCTGTACGTTCATTAGCGTCTCTCTGTCGTTCTGGCCCGCGAATGGGGAGGCGCTAACCAAACTGCGGACGATACACAAAGATACATTGTAGAATCTCGGCGCAGATCGCGGGAATGTTTCACATAAAACCACCAGGAACACTTACCATAGGTAGCTAATAACCCCGACAGGCCTGCAGAGCAAGAAGAACAGAAGAACATGGGTTAGTTTTCAGGAGCGCTCACAGTTTTTGTAGACCAGCCCGCATTAACCACTTCAAGTCCGGACACTCTCACCCCCGTCCTGTCCAGGCCAATTTTCAGCTTTCAGCGCTATCACACTTTGAATGACAATTGCGTGGTCATGCAACATGAATTTTTTTGCATTTTTTTGAGAGATAAAACTTTATTTTGGTCGCATTTATTCACCACTGGGATTTTTTTTTTTTTTTTTTTTGCTATATAAATGAAAAGTCCAAAAATTTTGAAAATAAAGTGTTTTTCTTATAAAAGTTCTCAAATAAATAATCTTTCTTCATAAATCTCGGCCAAAATGTATTCAGTTATCTTTTTAGTAAAAAAAAAAATTTTATAAAATTAGTTTATAATCAAAAATTATAATTTTTCAAAAATAATTTTTAACTTTTTAATTTTTTTTTTATATTATTATTTATGTTTTTTTTTTAACATACTGTCACCCTAGCAGTAGTGTCACCATAGTGACACTGTACTACTTGTGGGGGGTGATGAAGATTTTTTATTTTTTTTACACTGATTGCTTTTACATCCATAAAGGCTGTAAAAGCAATCATTTCTCCTTCTCCTGGCTGCATTGCTGCAGCCACTGAGAAATACTGTGTGAGCTGTGATTGGTCACAGCTTGTCACATGGTACAAAAGGCTGTTGTGAATAGCCCTGTACCATGTGATCTCAGTGATCAGTCACAGATTTCACACGTAGTAAGCAATGATGTCAGGAAGTGACATCTTGCTTACTCCTATTCATGTGATCACTGATTGGCCAATCAGTGATCACATGATCGGAACATCACACAGAGGTCCCGTACAGCGTTCCCAGGGAGCGCGCACAGTCCAAAATGACGGGCGCTGTTCAGGGGCGGACTGACAACTCATGGGGCCCCCGGGCAATAGGGGATCATGGGGCCCCTGTGTCCTTGCCCAAACTCAAAAAAGCCTATGAAAAAGGTACCAAGGGCATCTCATGGAGCCCCCTACTGACCCTGGGCCCTCGGGCAGTGCCCAAGTTTTCAAATGGTCAGTCCGCCCCTGGCGCTGTTTATGAACATCAACCCGCCCCTGCACTGCCACCATCTGGCCGTTTATATACAGCGGCTGGACGGGAAGTGGTTAATGGCATGCAGACAACACTTTATAAATGAAGTTCTTAGAGTAGAAGCTGTAATAAATGGAATGAATGAATTCCACAGATATCAATGCATTCCACAATATGATGGAAATTAACCCCTAGATGCCGAGCGCACGCAAATATGCGAACTCTCGGCGTCTGTGCCTGCATATAGAGATGATCCTTGGTAGTATCCTTTATTGGAGAGTTGAGGTGCATTCACATTTCATTATAAATGCTACACCAGTCCAGTCCCTTGGGTTCCTCCAGAAGTTGCTAGGGGTTCCTTGAGCAATGAGAAGTGTCTGCCTTTCAGATACGTTCCCACTGACACCAATGATATTTTTAGCTATCTGTAAGGGGGGGATTCTTCCTACATGTAAGGATCATTCTTCCCACTGACCCTCATGCTAATGTACCATGAGCTGTAACTATATTAATTATTAGCATTCCCTAAATAGGAAACTTATTAGAAGGGTTCCGTCATGTTAAAAAGGTGGAGAAAGGATGCTCTAGCCCAGCTTTTCTCCACCTTTTTAACTAAAGGAACCTTCCGAAGGAACCAATGCTAATGATTTCAAGGTCTACAGCTCAAGTACATTAGTGTAATGGTCAGTGGGAAGAAAACTCCTTACATTTGAAATCAAAAAGAAGGATATCCCAATTACAGATCGTTAAAAAGGTCATTGGTGTCAGTGGTAGCTTACAGGATATTAACATGATAGTCATGGTGAAGAATGCTCCTTACATTGGGGGTCAGTGGGAGGAATGCTCCTTATCTTGGTGGCCAGTGGGAAGAATGTCCCTTACATTGGTGATCAGTGGGAAGAAAGTCCCTTACATTGGTGGTGATCAGTGGGAAGAATGTTCCTTACATTGGTGGTCAGTGGGAAGAATGCTCCTTACATTGGTGATCCGTGGGAAGAATGTTCCTTACATTGGTGGTCAGTGGGAAGAATTACTCCTTACTTATTGGTGGCCATTGGTAACAATGCTCCTTACATTGGGGGTCAGTGGGAAGAATGCTCCTTACAGTGGCAGTTAGCAGGAAGATGTCCCTCACATTAGGGGTCAGTGGGAAGAATGCTCCTTACCTTGGTGGCCAGTGGGAAGAATGTCCCTTACATTGGCATCAGTGGCGCAAAGAATGTCTTTACATTAGGGGTTAGTGGGAAGAATGCCCCTTTACATTGGTAGTCAGTGGGAGGAAGAATGCCCTTACATTGGTAGTCAGTGGGAGGAATGCTCCTTACATTGGTAGTCAGTGGGAGAATGCTCCTTACATTGGTAGTCAGTGGGATGAATACCTCCTTGGAAATAGGTAAATTGGTGCCAGTGGTAGCTTATATGAGAGGTAGAATTTACTCACGGATTAAAGAACCCCTAGCAACTGCTGGCGGAACCCTAGGGTTCCATGTAAACCAAGTTGGGAAAGGCTGCTCTAGATCCGTGTTTCTCAATCTTTATTCAGCCAAGAGACCCTTTAAAATTATGGACAATCTCAAGGCACCTTTTAAACTTCTGCATAATCTCGAGGCAGGTCATTCTGAAATGTAAAAAAACTATTTGAAACCCAATGTTAGAGGTGATTTATTCTTCCAAAGCAAATATACCTTTGCACACCAGTACTAACTAGTGTTCCCGTGTTTCTCCCTCAGTTTCTCTCCCTCATTCAGCTAATGTGACCCTTGTGCTGACAGAGAGGGGCAGAGAAGGAGCAAACAAGGATTCTCTGCAGGCACCCGATGTCCTTCTCATCAGCTGATGATGTCATTGGTTGTTAGGACGCCGGTAGCTGGAAGATCATATAAGTGCAGAATAAAAACCTGTGGCTTTGTGTACTATAAGGCAGACTTGATCCACCTGCTGGCATGCATATAATTTTTGGGTAATATTTAGGAATTTTACAATGGCACCCCTGAAAAAGGCAGCCCAGGGTTGAAAAATACTGCTTTGGATTGTACAGACTACAGTTGCAGGAAAAAGTATGTGAACCCCTTGGGATTACGTGGAGTTTTGCATGAATTGGGCATAAAATGTGCTCTGAACGTCACCTAAGTCACAACAATAGAAGAACACAGTCTGCTGAACATTATACTACACAAACATTAGATGTTGCCATGGTTTAATTGCACATAACATAGAAACATTCACAGTGCAGGGAGGAAAAAAGTATGTGAGGCCCTAGCTTAATGACTTCTCCCAGAGCTAATTGGAGCCAGGAGTGAGCCAACCTTGACTCCAATCAGTGTGATGATATTGGATGTGTTGCTGACAGCTGTCCTGCCCTTAAAAAACACACACCTGTTTTGGGTTTACTGGTTTCAAGAAGCACTGTCTGATGTGAACCATGCCTCGCAGAAAAGAGCTCTCAGAAGACCTACCATCAAGAATTGTTGACTTGCATGAAGCTGGAAATGGTTACAAAAGTATCTCCAAAAGCCTTGATGTTCATGTGTCCACGGTAAGACAGACTGTCTACAAATGGAGAAAGTTTAGCACTGGTGCTACTCTCCCTAGGCGTGGTCGTCCTGTAAAAATGACTGCAAGAGCACAGCGCAGAATGCTGCATGAGGTAAAGAAGAATCCCAGAGTGTCAGCTAAAGACCTACAGAAATCTCTGGCACATGCTAACATTTTTGTTGACACATCTACAATAAGGAAAACATTAAACAAGAATGGAGTACATGGGAGGACACCACGGAGGAAGCCATTGCTGTCCAAAAAGAAGATTGCAGCACGTTTGAAGTTTGCAAAAGAGCACCTGGATGTTCCACAGCACTACTGGCAGAATATACTGTGGACAGATGAAACCAAGATTGAGTTGTTTGGGAAGAACACACAACACTATGTGTGGAGAAAAAAAGGCACAGCACACCAACATCAAAACCTCATCCCCACTGTGAACCATGGCGGAGGGAACATCATGGTTTGGGGCTGCTTTGCTGCCTCAGGGTCTGGACGGATTGTTGTCATTTATGGGAAAATGAATTCCAGAGTTTACCAAGACATTTTGCAGGAAAACGTACGACCATCTGTCTGCCAACCGAAGCTCCGCAGAGGATGGGTGATGCAACAGGACAATGACCCAAAGCATACAAGTCATTCAACAAAACAATGGCTGCAACAGCACAGAATACGCCTCCTGGAGTGGCCCAGTCAGAGTCCTGACCTCAACCCGATTGAAATGCTGTGGCATGACCTTAAGAGAGCGATTCACACCAGACATCCCAAGAATATTGCTACACTGAAACAGTTTTGTGAAGAGGAGTGGTCCAAAATGACTCCAGATCGTTGTGCAGGTCTGATCTGCAACTACAGGAAACGTTTGGTTGAGGTTATTGCTGCCAAAGGAGGGTCAACCAGTTATTATGTCCAAAGGTTCACATACTTTTTCCTCCCTGCACTGTGAATGTTTACATGTTATGTGCAATTAAACCATGGCAACATCTAATGTTTGTGTAGTATTATGTTCAGCAGACTGTGTTCTTCTATTGTTGTGACTTAGATGACGTTCAGAGCACATTTTATGCCCAATTCATGCAAAACTCCACGTAATCCCAAGGGGTTCACATACTTTTTCTTGCAACTGTATACAGAAAGCCAATGGGGGGGGGGGGGGGGGGGGGGGTATAGTCTCTGCTGGTTTGGGGAAAAAGTTATTTTATTTTTAATTTATTTTTTTAAACAGTATATTTTTTACTATATTTTGTAAATAAGCATTGCATACAAGGTACAACCAAATTGTTGCAGTAGAAAAGATTGCAGAAGATCAGCAGCAATGAAGTGCAACAAAAATGAAAAAAAGTATCGTATTAAAAAAGTGCTCTTGCAAAGTTGAAGTCATTTGGTTTCAGTTTATATCTGCATTAAAACAACACGTTTTACACACACACAGCTATAATAATTACCAGATATCGGAAGACTTGGATACGGGCGCCTGAGCAGCAATTTCTGGAGGAACAAACTCGGGGGAGCCATACTTGCTGTACTGGAACTCAGACTGGATTATTTTCTGGGAGAATCCGAAGTCGCAGAGTTTAATGTCCTCCTTATCGGTGTGAACCATCAGAATGTTGGACGGCTGGAAGAAGGGAACACGTGGGATTAACAAAGCTGCAAAGCACATTCGAAGCCAAAGAATGTTTTTTTTTTTTTTTTTTTTTTTTGTTTCTTCAAAAGAGCTCTCAGCAAAGACAGTAATAATCTGCAAACTGCACTGTGAAACAACTAGGACTGCGAGCTGTAGGATGCAACTTTGGCATTCTTGCTTTAGGAGCCAGAAGACCATCTTGTGATATGTACAGTGAGGAACAGAAGTATTTGAACCCCCTGCGATTTTGCAAGTTCTCCCACTTAGAAATCATGGAGGGGTCTGACATTCACATTGTAGGTGCATTCCCACTCTGAGAGACAGAATTAAAAAAAAATTTCAGGAAATCCCATTGTATGGTTTGTAAAGAATGTATTTGTCTCGCACTGCTGAACAGAAGTATTTGAACACCTAAGAAACAGCAAGAATTCTGGCTCTCAAAGACCTGTTACTGCGCCTTTAAAAAGTCCACCTCTACTCCACTCATTAATGTAACTTAGTAGCACCTGTCTGAGCTCTTTAAAGACACCTGTCCACCCCACAGTCAGTCAGACGCCAACTACTACCATGGGAAGACCAAAGAGCTGTCAAAAGACACCAGAGACAAAATTGTGGACCTCCACAAGGCTGGAAAGGGCTACGGGGCAATTGCCAAGCAGCTTGGTGAAAATAGATCAACTGTTGGAGCAATTGTTAGAAAATGGAAGAGGCTAAAGACGACTGTCAGTCTCCCTCGGACTGGGGCTCCATGCAAGATGTCACCTCGTGGGGTATCACTGATGATAAGAAAGGTGAGGAATCAGCCCAGAACTACAAGGGAGGAGCTGGTCAATGACATGAAGAAAGCTGGGACCACAGTTTCACAGGTCACTGTCGGTAGAACACTACGGCGTCATGGTTTCAAATCATGCATTGCACGGAAGGTTCCCCTGCTCAAGTCATCACATGTCCAGGCCGTCTGAAGGTTCCCCTGCTCAAGTCATCACATGTCCAGCCCCTCTGAAATTTGCCAATGACCATCTGGATGATCCAGAGGAGGCATGGGAGAAAGTCATGTGGTCATATGAGACCAAAGTAGAACTTTTTGGTCTAAACTTCACTCATCGTGTTTGGAGGAAAAAGAAGGATGAGTTGCATTCCAAGAACACCATACCTACTGTGAAGCATGGGGGTGGTAACATCATGCTTTGGGGGTGCTTTTCTGCAAAGGGGGCAGGACAACTGCACTGTATTAAGGAGAGGATGAATGGGGCCATTTATTGTGAGATTTTGAGCAACAACTTCCTTCCTCAGTCAGAGCATTGAAGATGGGTCGTGGCCGGGTCTTCCAACATGACAACGACCCGAAGCACACAGCCAGGAGAACCAAGGAGTGGCTCCGTAAGAAGCATATCAAGGTTCTGGAGTGGCCTAGCCAGTCTCCAGACCTAAATCCAATACAACATCTTTGGAGGGAGCTGAAACTCCATGTTGCTCAGCGACAGCCCCGAAACCTGACAGATCTAGAGGAGATCTGTGTGGAGGAGGGGCCAAAATCCCTGTTGCAGTGCAAACCTGGTCAGGAACTACAGGAAACGTCTAACCTCTGTAACTGCAGATAAAGGCTTCTGTACCAAATATTAACACGGATCTTCTCAGGGGTTCAAATACTTCTGTTCAGCCGTGCAAGACAAATACATTCTTTACAAATCATACAATGGGATTTCCTGAATTATTTTTTTTAATTCTGTCTCTCAGAGTGGGAATGCACCTACAATGTGAATGTCAGACCCTCCATGATGGAGAAGTTGGAGAACTTGCAAAATCGCAGGGGGTTCAAATACTTCTGTTCCTCACTGTAACTGAGAGAATGAGATGTTGTGCCATATCTAATGCCAGAGACCCAGACAATATCTGGTAGAGGCCTGGAAAATTTGTCCCTTTAAATATCTAGTGCCAATGCCATTAGAAAAAAGTTGACTCTTCCGCAGCCAACAACAATAGTTGGGTATTAACAACAACAGAAAAAAGAATTGTACATTTTCTAAAACTGTGTAAAGTGACTTATTTTCAGTTACATAATTCTTTGCTCCCCATTCCTCCTTCTGGGTCATTTTCAAATGCGAACAAACTGAAAGCTGACATTTACAATCGATGCATTAATGAGGAAAGTTTACCTTGATGTCCAGATGAAGAATATTTTTTTCGTGAAGATAAGCAACGGCTTCAAGGAGTTGTCTGATATACAGCTTCACCTGCAAACGTAAGAGTAAAGAAGATTTCACTCTTTTGTTGGAGCTGAGAAGATATGAGAAGAGGAGCAGATGAGAGGAGAGAATAGGGAGAGGAGATGAGAGGAGAGAATGGGGAGAGGAGATGAGAGGAGAGAATGGGGAGAGGAGATGAGAGGAGAGAATGGGGAGAGGAGATGAGAGGAGAGAATGGGGAGAGAAGATGAGAGGAGAAAATGGGGAGAGGAGATGAGAAGACAGAATGGGGAGAGGAGATGAGAGGAGAGAATGGGACGAGGGGCTAAGAGGAGAGAATGGGACAAGGGGTTGAGAGGAGAGAATGGGGAGAGGAGATGAGAGGAGAAAATGGGGAGAGGAGATGAGAGGACAGAATGGGGAGAAGAGATGAGAGGATGAGAATGGGATGAGGAGCTGAGAGGAGAGAATGGGAAGAGGAGCTAAAAGGAGAGAATGGGAAGAGGAGATGAGAGGAGAGAATGGGAAGAGGACATAAAATGAGAGAACAGGGAGAGGAGCTAAGAGTAGAGAATGGGATAAGGAGATGAGAGTAGAGAATGGGAAGAGGAGCTAAGAGGAGAGAATGGGAAGAGGACATGAAATGAGAGAATAGGAAGAGAAGATTAGAAGGGAGAATGGGGAGAGGAGTTAAGAGGAGAGAATGGGAAGAGGAGATGAGAGCAGAGAATTAGAAGAGGAGAAGAGAGGAGAGAATGGGACGAAGATATGAGAGAAGAGAATGGGAAGAGAAAATGAGAGGAAAGAATGGGAAGAGGAGATGAGAGGAGAGAATGGGATGAGGAGATGAGAGGAGAGAATGGGATGAGGAGAGGAGAGGATGGGAAGAGGAGATGAGAGGAGAGAATGGGAAGAGGAGATGAGAGGAGAGAATGGGAAGAGGAAATAAGAGGAGAGAATGGGAAAAGGAGATGAGAGGAGAGGATGGAATAAAACATGAGAGGAGAGAATGGGAAGAGGAGCTGAGGGGAGAGAATGGGGAGAGGAGCTGAGGGGAGAGAATGGGGAGAGGAGCTGACAGGAGAGAATGGGGAGAGGAGCTGAGAGGAGAGAATGGGGAGAGGAGCTGAGAGGAGAGAATTGGAAGAGGAGAAGAAAGGAGAGAATGGTAAGCATGGAAAGGGTAAGGGCTGCTTTGGGGCTTTTTTATTTAAACAGGGAGTAAAAAAAAAATCCAAAGCATTGTTTTTTTAGACTGTGAACTGATGTGTGTCCTTTTGCATTATTGTTGGTAACAATGAAGAAGAATGTCGATCTCTGTCTCTTATTTATTTATTATTATTATTTTTATTATTTGTTATTTGTTGGTATTACTAATACATTTACAGTATATATATTTTATATTATTTTGTAGTATTATTATAATTGAATATTACTATACAATTATTAGTTATATTATATACAGTATATTATTATATTTATATACATTTTTCTTATTATATTGCACTAATGTCCTTTCATGTTTCTAGTTTCTATTAGCTAGAAAGATAAACACCCACTAACCTCTTTTTCTGTGATAGTGTGTTTCCGGAAGAGTCGGTCCAGCAGTTCCTCCCCGCAGCATCTGTTCTAATTAAGAAAAATAAAGACTTGCCAAAAGATACTCATATTATTCCACATATCCATGCTCATGAATTAGACAGTTATGTTAGTATTCTCATCCCGGCATCGTTTTGTAGCTGTAAGCTGAACTCCAGCCATACAGCTAAACTTACAGATAAAATATACCGAATATAGAAACCATTTTACTTCTAAAATATTTGGACTGAACTGGCCCAGAAGAACCTGGTACACAGATATATTCATACTACTAGGAGACCCCTGGCTCCTTCCGTCCATGACAGTCTGACAAAGGAAAAACTGATCAGATTAATCTTTCCATTCGTGTGTGAAGGATCATGTGACATATTCATATCATGTGAAGGATCATGTGATCATGTGACATATTCATATCATGTGAAGGATCATGTGATCATGTGACATATTCAAATCTCTGATCTTTTAGTTTATTGTTACATGTATGGTGTTTGTTGTCAGCTGGAGCAAGCTGAATTATATGCTCATCAATACATTGAAGTTTACACATTGTCCAATTAGTCTGGTTTCCTGTTGGATTATGAAATTATCATACCACACCTTATCTTTGAATTCTTATAATTCCTAAACTTCTCCCTTCCAGCTCCCATTGCCTGAAAGATGTTGGCACTGAAATCCAGGGCTGAGACTAGGGGGGGACTGAGCAGGCACCTGCATCGGGCACTGCCAAGTTGGCCACTCATCCCAGTCCTTACTGACAGGAGTGACTGCAGTGTCACTCCTGTCAGAAGGAGCAGCAGCCAATAGCTGCTGCTGGAGGGAAGATTTTGCTTTCCCCTTTCCGCCTGGATGGGATGGAAAAGAGCTGGCACTGAGACAGAGAACTATCCTCAGTCTCTGTGCCACTCTGCAGAGGAAGGAGGGTGGACTGTCTCCTTCTTCCTCTCTTCTTCTGTCATGTGACTTGTCAGATGATCGGAGAGAGGGAGGAGAGGCTGTGAGTACTGATCTCCCAGTACAAGGGGGGAAAGCTGGGGGGGGGGGGGAATGGGGTGTGTGGAACAACGTGGGAGCATGGGGACACCAGATGTAAAGGGGGACTCTGTTAGGGACACCTGATGTAAAGGGGGACTCTACTGGGGACACCAGATGTAAAGGGGGACTCTATTGGGGACACCAGATGTAAAGGGGGACTCTATTGGGGACACCAGATGTAAAGGAGGACTCTATTGGGGACACCAGATGTAAAGGAGGACTCTATTGGGGACACTAGATGTAAAGGGGGACTCTATTGGGGACACCAGATGTAAAGGGGGACTCTATTGGGGACACCAGATGTAAAGGGAGACTCTATTGGGGACACCAGATGTAAAGGGGGACTCTATTGGGGACACCAGATGTAAAGGGGGACTCTATTGGGGACACCAGATGTAAAGGGAGACTCTATTGGGGACACCAGATGTAAAGGGGGACTCTATTGGGGAAACCAGATGTAAAGGGGGACTCTATTGGGGACACCAGATGTAAAGGGAGACTCTATTGAGGACTCTTGATCTACAGGGAAACTCTACTGGGGGCTGTACTTGGTGGAGGGGGGGGGGGGATGCAATTCACCATCTTCACCCTGGGAGCTGGATGACCCTATCCTAGCATTGCTGAGATCTCATATAGCCTGCCTGGCTTTTTTTTTGCAAATCCTCAGACTTCAGTTTGATCTCTGCCATACGGGGATATATGATAAGGTTTCACTATAAAAGTCCCACGATTGTGTAGAATTTTTGTCTGTCAAGCGATGTGAGGCCACAGTAAAGGATACATTTCCAAAATAAGAATGAGTGTTTTCTTTGTTTCAAAGGCATCAAGGAGCAGAGTGATTCGCTCATGCGACACTTCCGACAAGATGTCACGCTCGTGGTACGCTTGCTGCCGAGTCTTACTTCTCAGTGGAATGAATTTAGCGGCACATGTTGCGCCATTACCTTTGTGCACTACGCGTTTCACGAAGCCAAAGGACCCTCTGAAAACAGAGAAAGTCAAAGTGATATAACGTGAACGTGTTTTCTCTTACAGTTCATCCTCTTACATGTCAGTTGATAAAAGTGTATCTACAGCCTTGTTTCATTTGGAAAAAGTAGGGAAAGGTTAAAGCCTAATATGGGTTACATTTGTTTTTTTAAAAGCTGCCATAGGAGCTTAACCATTAGCCGTAGCCAATAGCCGTTTGGCGGCTTGAAAAGCGCTGCAGCTTTCCGGGTCCACGCCATTTGGCGTGCTCCCGCACATGCGCCGTTTGCGCTATTGCAGAGCGGCGCAGCAGCGGGATCTGTCACCGCCCGTGCACCTCGGACACGGCCGATGACAGATCCGAGTACCGGCTCCCGTTGCCGGTACCATGTGACCTGCCGCGACCAATCACAGCAGGTCACATGACAGTTGTATACAATGGATGGCTTCATTCATGATGCCATCCATTGTATACTAGTGCCTAGCTGTGAATGGTCACAGCTAATCACATGCACATGTCATGTGATTAGCTGTGACCAAATCACAGCTAAGCACACAAAAAAAAAAAAAAAAAAAAAAGCTGAATGAATCGATTTCATTCAGCTAAATGCTTGCTTATAGCAAAGTAATTCTTTGCTATAAGCAAATTGTGTAAAAAAAGAAAAAAAAAAAAATACTGATCACTTCCCCAAAGTAGTACAATGTTACTATGGTAACATTGTACTATTTTGGTCATAGTAAAATATGAAAAAAAATCTTAAAAAAAATAAAAAAAAAAAAAAATGTAATAAAAAATTAAATATAATAAAAAAATAAAAAAAATTAAAAAAAAATATAATTTTTTTTTTTTTTTCATACTGTCACCAGTCAGTGTCCCTGTTCACCGCCATGCCAGTTATATGATGACGCTGTACTGCACTGGTGACAGTATGTAAAAAAAAAAATAGTGAAAATAATATTTTTCATTTTTTCATTTTCGGAAAAATTATGACAAAAAAATACAACTTCAAAAAACTCGCCATGCCTCTTATGAAGTACGTCCGACTGTCTACTCAGCAAAAAGGGGTCATTTGGGGATATCTGTACTATTCTGACATTCTTGGACCTCAAGAAATTAGATTGGCTGTCAGTACTTCAGGATTGATCAATATTCAGATCTATACCATAGTTTGTGAACTCTATAACTTTCCTACAAACTAAATAATACATCCTAATTTGGGTTATTTTCACCAAAGACATGTAGCAGAATACATCTCGGTCTAAATTTATGAAGAACAATTATTTATTTGTAAACTTTTATAACAGAAACAAAGAAAAATGTGTTTTTTTTTTTCAAAATTTTTGGTCTTTTTTTGTTAATTTAGCAAAAAATAAAAACCCCAGCGGTGATTAAATACCACCAAAAGAAAGCTCTAGTTGTGTGAAGAAAATGATAAAATTTTAGTTTGGGTACAATGTTGTATGACTGCGCAATTGTCATTCAAAGTGTGAGAGCGCTGAAACCTGAAAAATGGCCTGGGCAGGAAGGTGTAAAATTGCACGGTATTGAAACGGTTAAAGTGATTCTAAAGGCTTAATATTTAAAAAAACAAACATGTCTGTACTTACCTGCTGTGAGCCGTGGTTTTCCACAGAGCAGTCCGGATCCTCCTCTTCTCAGGTCCCCCGCATGTTCTCCTGGCTCCTCCCTCCAGTCTGGTGCCCCCATAGCAAGCAGCTTGCTATGGGAGCACTCGCTGCTCCATGTGTCCATGCACACATGGAGCCACTGCTTGGCCCTGCCCCTCTCTCTTTTCATTGGCTCACTGGCTGTGATTGACAGCAGTGGGAGTCAGTGGCTCCCGCTTCTGTCTCAGCCTTTGAGAAGGGGGAGTCCCAGGATAGCCGAGACTCCATTGCACATCGCTGGATTGGGAGGGGGATTTCAATGGCTCTCTCTTCTTTCTCAGCCAATGAAAAGAGGGAGTCCTAGGATAGCCGAGACTCCAGTGCACATTGCTGGATTGGGAGGGGGCTTAGGTGAGTATGGGGGGGGGGGGGCTGCACATAGAAGGTTTTTTAAGCTTCATGCATAGAATTCATGAAGGTAAAAAACCTTAAGCCTTTAGAATCACTTTAACATATAAAAAAAGCTCAGGGTGCAATACTCATCACCTCTCCAGTGCTGGGAATGTTCCTCCCATTGAACATCAATGTAAGGAACATTCTTCCTGTTGACTACCAATGTGAGGAGCATTCTTCTTCCCACTGACTGGGATTCTTCTGAATAACCACCGGTATAAGGAGCATTCCTCTCACTGATCACCAATGTAAGGATCATTCTTTCCACTGACAACCAATGTAAGAGACATTCTTCCCGCTGACCACCAATGTAAGGGACATTCTTCCCTCTGACCACCAATATAAGGGACATTCTTCCCACTGATCACCAACGTAAGGGACATTCTTCCCTCTGACCGCCAATGTAAGGGACATTCTTCCCACTGGCCACCAATGTAAGGGACATTCTTCCCACTGACCACCAATGTAAGGAGCATTCTTCCCACTGATCACCAATGTAAGGAACATTCTTCCCACTGACCACAAATGTAAGGGGCATTCTTCCCACTGGCCACCAATGTAAGAGACATTCTTCCCACTGATCACCAATGTAAGGGACATTCTTCCCACTGACCACCAATGTAAGGGGCATTCTTCCAACTAACCACCAATGTAAGGAGCATTCTTCCCACTGATCACCAATGTAGGGAACAGTCTTCCCACTGACCACCAATGTAAGGGGCATTCTTCCCACCGATCCCCAATGTAAGGAACATTCTTCCCACTGACCACCAATGTAAGGAGCATTCTTCCCAATGATCACCAATGTAAGGGACATTCTTCGCACTGACCACCAATGTAAGGGACATTCTTCCCACTGATCACCAGGGTAAGGGACATTCTTCTCACTGACCACCAATGTAAGGGACATTCTTTCCACTGATCACCAATGTAAGGGACATTCTTCCCACTGATCACCAATGTAAGGGACATTGTTCCCACTGATCATCAATGTAAGGGACATTCTTCCCACTGACCACCAATGTAAGGGACATTCTTCCCACTGATCACCAATGTAAGGGACATTCTTCCCACTGATCACCAATGTAAGGAGCATTCTTCCCACTTATCACCAATGTAAGGGACATTCTTCCCTCTGACCGCCAATGTAAGGGACATTCTTCCCACTGGCCACCAATGTAAGGGACATTCTTCCCACTGACCACCAATGTAAGGAGCATTCTTCCCACTGATCACCAATGTAAGGAACATTCTTCCCACTGACCACAAATGTAAGGGACATTCTTCCCACTGGCCACCAATGTAAGAGACATTCTTCCCACTGATCACCAATGTAAGGGGCATTCTTCCCACTGACCACCAATGTAAGGAGCATTCTTCCCACTGATCACCAATGTAGGGAACAGTCTTCCCACTGACCACCAATGTAAGGGACATTCTTCCCACTGATCCCCAATGTAAGGAACATTCTTCCCACTGACCACCAATGTAAGGGACATTCTTCCCACTGATCACCAGTGTAAGGGACATTCTTCTCACTGACCACCAATGTAAGGGACATTCTTTCCACTGATCACCAATGTAAGGGACATTCTTCCCACTGACCACCAATGAAAGGGACATTCTTCTCACTGACCACCAATGTAAGGGACATTCTTCCCACTGATCACCAATGTAAGGGACATTCTTCCCACTGACCACCAATGTAAAGGACATTCTTCCCACTGATCACCAATGTAAGGGACATTCTTCCCACTGATCCCCAATGTAAGGGACATTCTTCCCACTGACCACCAATGTAAGGGACATTCTTCCCACTGATCACCAATGTAAGGGACATTCTTCCCACTGATCACCAATGTAAGGGACATTCTTCCCACTGATCACCAATGTAAGGGACATTCTTCCCACTGATCACCAATGTAAGGGACATTCTTCCCACTGATCACCAATGTAAGGGACATTCTTCCCACTGATCACCAATGTAAGGGACATTCTTCCCACTGATCACCAATGTAAGGGACATTCTTCCCACTGATCACCAATGTAAGGGACATCCTTCCCACTGATCACCAATGTAAGGGACATTCTTCCCACTGACCATAAGGTGTAGATATAATTGAGACCTAAAACTAATTTCAAGGGTTGCTCCATGTTACAAAGATTGAGAAAAGCTGAAACTAGTCAGTATCTAGACAGAGAGCCAAAGTAAAGACTGATGTGAGCTGGGAGCAAATTCCCATTCCACCTACCTGCCAATCTCCTCTTTAACCTCAAAGAAAGATTTTAGCTTCCTTCTCTTGTGAACAATCTTCGTGTCGTCTTCTTTCTCCTCTGTAAATGAGAAAACTCCTGTCACACAATAGAGGACCCGGCACAGCTCATCCACCCTGGGCTCTGGAGATGATTGGATGTCACTCCCACCGAATCCCACATAACTTCTACTAGCAATGCTCTGTTTATGGTCTAAAAAAAAATGTTATGGAGCCCATGCAGGGATAATATTTAAAGTGAACCTTTTAGTAACTGCATAGAAAAATGTATATATATATATATATATATATATATATATATACCACTCAAAAAAATTAAAGGGAGATTTTTTTAATCAGAGTCTAGCATCAAGTCAGTGACACTCCTGGGATATTGATCTGGTCAGGTAAGTAGCAGAGGGGGTTGTTAATCAATTTCAGCTGCTTTGGTGTTCATGAAAATAACAACAGGTGCACTAGATGGGCAATAATGAGACGATCCCCAAAACAGGAATGATTTTACAAGTGGAAGCCATTTTTTCCCTGCTCCTCTTTTCTGACTGTTTTTCACTCGTTTTGCATTTGGCTAGGGTCAGTGTCACTACTGGTAGCATGAGGCCATACCTGGACCCTACAGAGGTTGCACAGGCAGTCCAACTTCTCCAGGATGGCACATCAATACGTGCCATTGCCAGAAGGTTTGCTGTGTCTCCCCAGCACAGTCTCAAGAGCATGGAGGAGATTCCAGGAGACAGGCAGTTACTCTAGGAGAGCTGGATAGGGCCGTAGAAGGTCCTTAACCCATCAGCAGGACCGGTATCTGCTCCTTTGTGCAAGGAGGAACAGGATGAGCCCTGCCAGAGCCCTACAAAATGACCTCCAGCAGGCCACTGGTGTGAATGTCTCTGACCAAACAATCAGAAACAGACTTCATGAGGGTGGCCTGAGGGCTCGATGTCCCCTAGTGGGTCCTGTGCTCACTGCCCGGCACCGTAGAGCTGGATTGGCATTTGCCATTGAACACCAGAATTGGCAGGTCCACCACTGGTGCCTTTTCACAGATGAGAGCAGGTTCAGCCCTGAGCACATGTGACAGACGTGAAAGGGTCTGGAGAAGCCGTGGAGAACGTTCTGCTGCCTGTAACATGGTTCAGCATAACTGTTTTGGTGGTGGGTCAGTGATGGTCTGGGGAGGCATATCCATGGAGGGACACACAGACCTCTACAGGCTAGACAATGGCACCCTGACTGCCATTAGGTATGGGGATGAAATCCTTGGACCCATTGTCAGACCCTACACTGGTGCAGTGGGTCCTGGGTTCCTCCTGGTGCAGTGGGTCCTGGGTTCCTCCTGGTGCACAACAATGCCCGGCCTCATGTGGTGAGAGTATGCAGGCAGTTCCTGGAGGATGAAGGAATTGATACCATTGAATGGCCCCCATGCTAGCCTGACCTAAATCCAATAGAACCCCTTTGGGACGTCATGTTTCGGTCCATCCGACGCTGCCAGGTTGCACCTCAGACTGTCCAGGAGCTCAGTGATGCCCTGGTCCAGATCTGGGAGGAAATCCCCCAGGACACCATCCGTGGTCTCATTAGGAGCCTCCCCCGACGTTGTCAGGCATGCATGCATACAAGCACGTGGGGGCCACACAAATTACTGAGGACCATTCTGAGTTGCTGCAATGACATTTCAGCCAAATGGACTCCCCTGCTGCATTGTTTCTTCACTTTGATTTTTGGGGCGTCTTCGAATTCAGTCCTATGTAGGTCGATCATTTTATTTCCATCAAACGATGGGGCGTCCTTACATTCCTCACCCATCCCCCGTCCATGTCAGTATAGAGACATGTGTAACTAGTCCCAGTGTAGCTAATCACCACCCCACCAGTCACAGTGTCACCAGTGTCATGTGTGTTCACACACATATTATAGGTAAAGTTGATCCAGGGAATATCCGATTGCCTCTCGGGGGGATCAGGAAGGAGTTTTTTTCCCAGCAGGAGCAAATTGGATCATACTTTGCTGGTTTTTTTGCCTTCCTTTGGATCAAACGTGGGTGTAGGATTGTAACTTTTTTTTTAATGGTTGAACTAGATGGACATTTGTCTTTTTTCAGCCAGACTAACTATGTAACTATGTGCTGCTCTTTGAAGAGCTATCCATGTTCAGATGACTATTATACCATCTCCTCTCTGTGTGCTTTAACCCTTTGAACCCCATACTAATGCGCATTGCATGCGGTTGCAGAGTGGCCACATTTACTTGAATGGGTTGCTCTTAGCTGGCGCCAGGGGCGTCCCTAGGGTAGGCATTACCCAGTGCGGTAACACTTGGTGACACCCCCTCCGACGAGCCCCGCAAAATGGATTGGATCTGCAGATTGAGCATAATGGATCAGACTCCGATCCATTCTTTACAACTTCTCTTTTTGTGGAGTGGGTCCTGTGTCACCCCCTGTAGGTTGCATGCCGACGATCCCCGCAGGATGGTTCAGATCTGCGGATTGAGCATAATGGATTGGAGTCCGATCCATTATGCTCCCCAATCCGCAGATCCCATCCATCCTGCAGGGATCGTCGGCATGCAACCTATACGGGGTGACACCGGACCCACTCCACAAAAAAGATAAGTTGTAAAGAAAGCCGACGATCCCCGCAGAATGGATCGGATCCATCCTGCAGGGATCGTCGGCTTGCTTTACAACGTACCTTTTTGTGGAGCGGGTCCTGTGTCATCCCGTGTGATCGGTGTCACCTGGTGCGGGCCGCACCCCCCGCACCTGCCTCGGGACGCCACTGGCTGGCGCTACGCCCACCGGAAGCAACGGGGGGTATAGGTACTGCTGCAGCAAAAAAGCACTGTGGCTGTGGCATGTGTACACACCTGGGCCACTGCCTCTGCAGCTAAAAGGGGGGGTAGTTGGAAGGGGTTTTAAAAGTGCAGCTCAACCTCAGGGTTTTTCCACCCCTCCCCCCAACCTCACGTGTGAATGAGCTCTAACAGAAGTAATCCAATATGAATATCACAGATTACAGCAAAGCCATGGATCACCAACTAATATAATGAACAGTATTGCCCTGTAGCAGATTATAGGAAATAATTACCTTCCTGCATAACCAGCTCAGCCTTGCAAGACACCTCTCCTCCGCTGTTCCTGGCCACACACGTGTACACGCCGCCGTCGCCGCGCTCTGTGCTCCGGATGACCAGGGAGCACTTCCTGCCATCTCTCACCAGCTGGAATCGATCGCTGTCCTTCAGCAATGTGTTATCCTGCAGAAAAGACAAAGATTTTGGCATTTGTACGGAGCGGAGGGCAATTTTTGATATTCATACAAATTCAGACTCTTTATTTTGTAGTGAAAAATTATGAGAAGTACACTGAGCATGTAAAAAAAAAAACTCAGACCATTTGACTGCTATGGGTCCTGAAAAAAGAGAGCCCCCCCTGCACTGTCCGGCTGTAATACTCTATATCTCTAAAAACAAATGACATTTAGGGTGGAAAGTGTCCCCAAATGATTATCTCTTCACAAACTTTACATTTTTTTTTCTTTGGTTTTGGACACAATGGGGAACAATTAATGCTCCATATACACGGGGCACTTCTGAACGATGGAAACTGACTGCTGGAAAACGCAGGTTAAAAAAACGTCTGTTTAGCCTCGTTTGCATACCGCGTTTATGAGCGTTTGCATTTAGAAGCGTTTTTTAAAGATATATCTAAATATACGGTATCCACTAAATAAATCTACAGTTGCAAGAAAAAGTATGTGAACCCCTTGGGATTACGTGGAGGTTTGCATGAATTGGGCATAAAATGTGCTCTGAACGTCATCTAAGTCACAACAATAGAAGAACACAGTCTGCTGAACATAATACTACACAAACATTAGATGTTGCCATGGTTTAATTGCACATAACATAGAAACATTCACAGTGCAGGGAGGAAAAAGTATGTGAGGCCCTAGCTTAATGACTTCTCCCAGAGCTAATTGGAGTCAGGAGTGAGCCAACCTTGACTCCAATCAGTGTGATGATATCGGATGTGTTGCTGACAGCTGTCCTGCCCTTAAAAAAACACACACCTGTTTTGGGTTTACTGGTTTCAAGAAGCACTGTCTGATGTGAACCATGCCTCGCAGAAAAGAGCTCTCAGAAGACCTACCATCAAGAATTGTTGACTTGCATGAAGCTGGAAAGGGTTACAAAAGTATCTCCAAAAGCCTTGATGTTCATGTGTCCACGGTAAGACAGACTGTCTACAAATGGAGAAAGTTTAGCACTGTTGCTACTCTCCCTAGGCGTGGTCGTCCTGTAAAAATGACTGCAAGAGCACAGCGCAGAATGCTGCATGAGGTAAAGAAGGATCCCAGAGTGTCAGCTAAAGACCTACAGAAATCTCTGGCACATGCTAACATTTTTGTTGACACATCTACAATAAGGAAAACACTAAACAAGAATGGAGTACATGGGAGGACACCATGGAGGAAGCCATTGCTGTCCAAAAAGAAGATTGCAGCACGTTTGAAGTTTGCAAAAGAGCACCTGGATGTTCCACAGCACTACTGGCAAAATATACTGTGGACAGATGAAGCCAAGATTGAGTTGTTTGGGAAGAACACACAACACTATGTGTGGCGAAAAAAAGGCACAGCACACCAACATCAAAACCTCATCCCCACTGTGAAACATGGCGGAGGGAACATCATGGTTTGGGGCTGCTTTGCTGCCTCAGGGCCTGTACGGATTGTTGTCATTGATGGGAAAATGAATTCCAGAGTTTATAAAGACATTTTGCAGGAAAACGTACGACCATCTGTCCGCCAACTGAAGCTCCGCAGAGGATGGGTGATGCAACAGGACAATGACCCAAAGCATACAAGTAATTCAACAAAACAATGGCTGCAACAGCACAGAATACGCCTTCTGGAGTAGCCCAGTCAGAGTCCTGACCTCAACCCGATTGAAATGCTGTGGCATGACCTTAAGAGAGCGATTCACACCAGACATCCCAAGAATATTGCTACACTGAAACAGTTTTGTGAAGAGGCGTGGTCCAAAATGACTCCAGATCGTTGTGCAGGTCTGATCTGCAACTACAGGAAACGTTTGGTTGAGGTTATTGCTGCCAAAGGAGGGTCAACCAGTTATTAAGTCCAAAGGTTCACATACTTTTTCCTCCCTGCACTGTGAATGTTTACATGTTATGTGCAATTAAACCATGACAACATCTAATGTTTGTGTAGTATTATGTTCAGCAGACTGTGTTCTTCTATTGTTGTGACTTAGATGACGTTCAGAGCACATTTTATGCCCAATTCATGCAAAACTCTACGTAATCCCAAGGGGTTCACATACTTTTTCTTGCAACTATATAACCAAAAATATACCCAATAGCATATATAAACACTTTTACCCTAAAGGTTAAACAATCTGTGAATAATCATATGCTACCTATAACATATATACCGGTAGATCTCCAATCATATCACAAAATTATAAAATCACAAAATTTAAATAATACAAAAGAAAGTGTCCAAATATAGATCAATGCAAAATATAAAAATAACGTCCTTCAAAAATATAAAAATAAATATATAGTCAAATTCTAAAAATCCTGATGTTGAAGCCTTCCAAATGGTTCCCTTGACCAAAGTAAACCTCAAAAGAAAAGAAAATGTACATAGTGCATTATCTCTGATAAACCATAAAATACATACACTGGACAAGATAAATTCCACAGAATCATCACCAGGATTTTTGGAAGTTTTCACTGAGTGACTATATATTTATTTCTATATTGAAGGACATTATTTTTATATTTTGCATTGATCTAGATTTGGACACTTTCTTTGGTATTATTTAAATTTTGTGAATTTATAATTTTGTGATATGATTGGAGATTTATATATGTTATAGGTAGCATATGATTATTCACAGTTTTTTAAAGATTAACTCAGGAGACCTTCCAAAATGCCCAGAATGCACTGAAAAACAGTAAAAATTTAACTATTTCAGACATTTTAAGAGAAATAGAGAGAGCAGTATGTGTTGAGATTAGCTGTCTTTTTTTGTGGTGTTTGGATGTGTTCCGGCTCATTTCTGTGCAGAAATTATAATTATTATTATTATTGCAGCAGTGCCTAACATATTTTCTTTCATGCGAAACCTCAAAGTATGGTGTACAGCAGGGCTTAAAATTTCAAGTCCTAAGCTACTAGCCAGGCCATAGGAGTTACTCGCCACCAACAAACACACACAAACAGAGACACCTGTACACACACACAGACATGTACATACACACATACACACACAGAAACATGTACACACACGCACAGAGACACATGTACACACACACAGACATGTACATACACATACACACACACACACACAGAAACATGTACACACACACAGACATGTACATACACATACACACACAGAAACATGTACACACACGCACAGAGACACATGTACACACACACACAGACATGTACATACACATACACACACACACACACAGAAACATGTACACACACACAGACATGTACATACACATACACACACACAAACAGAGACACCTGTACACACACACAGACATGTACAGACACACAGAAACATGTACACACACGCACAGAGACACATGTACACACACACACATACAGACACATGTATACACAAACAGGCACGTACAGACACACATACACACAGATACATGTACATATCAGGGGTGGACTGACAACTCATGGGGCCCCAGGGCAATAGGGGATCATGGGGCCCCTGTGTCCTTGCCCACACTCAAACCACACCCAAAAAAGCCTATAAAAGGTACCAGGGGCATCTCATAGGGCCTCCTACTGACCCCGGGCCCTTGCTCGAATGGTCATGTTCAATCACTGATCACATGATCGGGACCTCACACAGAGGTCCCATACAGCGATTGGCGTTCCTCTGTGTCCGGAGGACACAGAAGACACTGGATCACGGTGCCGCGCACTCCCAGGGAGCGCGCACAATTCAAAATGGCAGGCGCCGTTTATGAACGGCAACCCGCCCCCACACTACCACCGTCCGGCCGTTTATATACATGGGCCGGACGGCAAGTGGGTAAATACCTTGTAAAGTACGGTTCTTCCTAATGAGTAAATAATTACAATATGTAGAGAGCGGACTGTGATGAACCTCACAATGCAGTGATTGTGGGGTGTCTTCGCACTCACCTTGTACCAGGTAATGGTAAGTGGGGGGCTTCCGTCTATAACTGCGTCAAACTGTGCCGTCTCCCCGCAGTTGGCGTGCACATCTTCTATAGTCACCTGCATATACGGGGGTCCTGGAAAACACAATTTTTAGCCGGTCAGATCCATACATTGCAAGGATTTGTAGCAAAACCTGTAAGGAATGTGTGCCCTGCAGGTACGAAATGTGCCCCCTGCACCCACATTCTCACCTGCTTCTGCCTTCTAGGTATAAGGATAGCAGAATACCGCACAAGGTCAGGACAATCTCACTATTGGGTGCATATCCAGCTCGTTGCTGAGAATACATTGCTCAGTATACTGGATGACTGAACTCCAGCTAAAAGTAGAACTTCTCTATTAGCATCAGTCCATAAAACCCAGGGCCGACCTAATAGCATCATGGGCCCCTGGGCAAAGTAATGCACTGGTGCCAATAGCATCCTGCCCCAATCTATGCACCTACCCACATGGAAGAAAAATATATTTCAAATATATTTTACAAATATTCTGCCCGAATATATCTACATATATTTGAACTACTACAATTTTGGCCGTATAAATAAATAAAATATATATATATATATATATATACACACTGTATGTTGAAATGCGTTTTTAAAATATATGACAAATATTTTTAAAAATACATTTTCAAATATACTGTATGTCTTTAAAAATAAATTTAGTCAACATTTTTGGAATGCATTTGAAAATATATGTTAAAATGACTTTTTTATATGTTAAAAAAAATCTGAAGACTATATTAAAAAAGTAGAACTCTATTAGCATCAGTCCATAAAACCCAGGGCCGACCTAATAGCATCATGGGCCCCTGGGCAAAGTAATGCACTGGTGCCAATAGCATCCTGCCCCAATCTATGCACCTACCCACATGGAAGAAAAATATATTTCAAATATATTTTAAAAATATCCTTCCCAATATATTGACATATATTTGAAATACTACAATTTTGGCCATATTCAATATATTTCAATAGGTAAAAAATAAAATAAAAATAAATAAATGTATATATATATATATATATATATATATATATATATATATATACACTGTATGTTGAAATGCATTTTTATTACAAAATATGTGAAAAATACTTTTAAAAATACATTTTCAAATATACTGTATGTCTTTAAAAATACATTTAATCTACATTTTTGGACTGCATATAAAAATATATGTTGAAATTACTTTTTTTATATGTTAAAAAAAATCTAAAGAATATATAAAAATATACATATATTTTTATAAATATTTTTCATATACTTTGCAATATATAAAAAATGCATTTCAACATGCAGGGGGGAGGGCACAATACTAGGATCAGGAGGGCACAATACTGGGATCAGGAGGGCACAGTACAGGAGGAGTCAGGAGGGCACAATACTGGGATCAGGAGGGCACAATACTGGGATCACGAGGGTACAGCACAGGGGGAGTCAGAAGCAGGGGCGGACTGACTATTTGGAAACTTGGACACTGCCCGAGGGCCCGGGGTCAGTAGGGGGCCCCATGAGATACCCCTGCTACCTTTTTCATAGGCTTTTTTGAGTTTGGGCAAGGGCACAGGGGCCCCATGATCCCCTATTGCCCGGGGGCCCCATGAGTTGTCAGTCCGCCCCTGGTCAGGAGGGAACAATACTGGGATCAGGAGGGCACAATACAGGGGGAGTTAGGAGGGCACAATACTGGGATCAGGAGGGCACAGTACAGGGGGAGTCAGGAGGGCACAGTACAGGGGGGAGTCAGGAGGGCACAATACTGGGATCACGAGGGCACAATACTGGGATCAGGAGGGCACAATACTGGGATCAGGAGGGCACAATACTGGGATCACGAGGGCACAATACTGGGATCAGGAGGGCACAATACTGGGATCAGGAGGGCACAATACAGGGGGAGTTAGGAGGGCACAATACTGGGATCAGGAGGGCACAGTACAGGGGGAGTCAGGAGGGCACAGTACAGGGGGAGTCAGGAGGGCACAATACTGGGATCAGGAGGGCACAGTACAGGTTCTGGGATGCTGCCCGGGCCATCCTGGGGCAGCTTAGTTAAACCGTGACTATCCCAGCAAATCCTGGACAGTTGGCAAGTATGATGTAATGCAAGATAATCATGGGGCCCCCATGCACCTGGGGTCCCTGGGTACGACCCTGGAGTGCTCATGCATTAACACTGCCCTGCTGCACAAAACAGCATACAACAGGCAAAAAGGACACCCTGATGCGTTTCACATTCACAGTAATGCGGTCCTCCAATATATTACACAATATATAAACCCAACATTTCCTATTCCTGATATGTGCCCACTGTACAATGCACTTCTATGGAAAAAGTCTCCTGTACTCTTTGTATTGATTCCTTTGTGTGAAATCCTTGGTGTTCCTGCCAGTCCCTCCGCTTTCCTACCAAAAACTGACCACACTAGGCATAAGAGCACAGCGTGGTCAGTTTTCTAGCTGTGCTGGGAACTCAGCCTGCTCTCCTCCAATGATCAGACTTGTCCTGGGATGCCCCGCCCCTCTGCTCAGCCATTCACTGGCAAGATCAGTGTGATGCTGTTTCTCCTCCCCCTGCTGCGCAGCTGAGAACAGAGGGATATGATCACCTATTAAAAAGGGGGAAAAAGTGTTTAATAATGTTTTTTTTTTAATATCTATACACAAATGTTTTGCCTTTCATTTCTTTTTCAAACTGAATGGATTGTTTTACAAGGTGAGGAGCCACATATACGTTATGCAATACCTGCCTTTTGGGTGCGGAGAGGGTCAGTCTAATTATTGTCCAACAATGGTGCAAGACGGGGGTGCTAAGTGGGGGGTTCTGCTTGCTATAGACACATGAGCAGCCTCGGTGTTGTAATAAAAGAATATCTGCGAGGGACAGCTGTGAGCCATTCAGAGGAGCAAGAAATGAGACGGAAGTAATGCTTTCAGGGGTGCCATGGACCCATGATGGCGGCATTTGAATATTTAAGCAGTTATTAAAAATATGCTAGACACAGATTAGAGAAGAAATGTCACATGTGAGAACATTAGATTACAAAGTGTTATTAGTGATCATTTTATATACACATAAAAAAAATATTTTAAATATACAATGAGTAAACGACTCAACAACACATCATTAGCTGATGAATTGGCTCAGATTTTTTTTTTTCATATCCTGCTCCTCAATGTCTCATATATGGCTGTCTATGTTCTTTGTCTAGATAGCATTGAATCTGAGCGTGCAAACAAATGCAGGACTGTGTTCCATATGACTGCAAAACAATCAAACAATATATCCAGACAGTGGGGTTCTAGGTGTAGAGGGGTCACCAGCAGGAGGAAGGAGGTCCTGATTCCTCTATATAGATCTTTATATCACTAGAGGGGTCACCGGCAGGAGGAAGGAGGTCCTGATTCCTCTATATAGATCTTTATATCACTAGAGGGGTCACCGGCAGGAGGAAGGAGGTCCTGATTCCTCTATATAGATCTTTATATCACTAGAGGGGTCACCAGCAGGAGGAAGGAGGTCCTGATTCCTCTATATAGATCTTTATATCACTAGAGGGGTCACCAGCAGGAGGAAGGAGGTCCTGATTCCTCTATATAGATCTTTATATCACTAGAGGGGTCACCGGCAGGAGGAAGGAGGTCATGATTCCTCTATATAGATCTTTATATCACTAGAGGGGTCACCGGCAGGAGGAAGGAGGTCCTGATTCCTCTATATAGATCTTTATATCACTAGAGGGGTCACCGGCAGGAGGAAGGAGGTCCTGATTCCTCTATATAGATCTTTATATCACTGGAGGGGTCACCGGCAGGAGGTCCTGATTCCTCTATATAGATCTTTATATCACTAGAGGGGTCACCGGCAGGAGGTCCTGATTCATCTATATAGATCTTTATATCACTAGAGGGGTCACCGGCAGGAGGAAGGAGGTCCTGATTCCTCTATATAGATCTTTATATCACTAGAGGGGTCACCGGCAGGAGGTCCTGATTCATCTATATAGATCTTTATATCACTAGAGGGGTCACCGGCAGGAGGAAGGAGGTCCTGATTCCTCTATAGATCTTTATATCACTAGAGGGGTCACCGGCAGGAGGAAGGAGGTCCTGATTCCTCTATATAGATCTGTATATCACTAGAGGGGTCACCAGCAGGAGGAAGGAGGTCCTGATTCCTCTATATAGATCTTTATATCACTAGAGGGGTCACCGGCAGGAGGAAGGAGGTCCTGATTCCTCTATATAGATCTTTAGTTAGATCTCATTTAGAATAATGTGTCCAGTTCTGGAGACCTCACTTTCAAAAAGATATTGATAAGATAGAACAGGTCCAGAGATGGAGAACACAAATGGTGAAAGGTCTGAGAGATAAAATATCCGGAGAGACTTCGGAAACTTAACATGTCCAGTCTGGAGGACCGAAGGGAAAGGGGAGACATGACTGAAACCTTTAAATACATCAAGGGGGTGAGAAAGGTTCAGGAGGGCAGGATTTTCAATATGATGATCAGGAACATGGGAACACATGCAGGGCCATGGATAAGGGGGTACCACCAGTCCTCCTGTACGGGGCCCAGGCCAACAGGGAGGGCCCAGGCAACTGGGTGAATCAGATGTGAGCCGGGAGGGTGATTGGCACGGTAGGGGGGCAATTACTGGTATCAATCCTCTGTATGGCTCTCTCTGCAGCATCTGAAAATTGTCTTCTTCTCTCCCTCTAGCTGCTTCAGAAAGAACCATAAAGGGGATCATTTCCAGTAATTGTCCCCCGCCACACCCATCACCATCCCACCTCACCATATGCCTTTCCCTGCTGCCCAGGCCACACTGTGTGCCCCCACCCCTGCAGTGCTTCCACCTTCCCTCTCCTTAACACCAGCAGCTGCAAGCATGCAATAGGATCCTTCATGATGGAGAGTGGAGAAAAGGTCCGGCAAATATGTCAGTATTGATCACTCACTGTGTTCATTCATAACTGAAACATAGTAAACTGTGTGTGTGTGTGGGGGGGGGGGGGGGGGGGTGGGGGTTGGCAGGGGCCCTGCAAAGTTGGCTGTATGGGGCCCCGTGG